GGTGTGTTTAATTAGGGTTGGAACTAAACTGCAGAGCTGCAGCCCTCCAGGAACTCGACAACTAGATTGCCTATAAATATTTGACAGAATAACAGAGGTACTCATAAATCTGTGCTATTAGCCCTCACTGTACTCCATGCATGTCTATGTTCCAGGTAAACACATACTGATAAGATTCAACCTGGGTAAACACTTTCCAGAGTCTTACCTCAATAAAAAAACAGCACAACAACCTTTAGTTACCTCACACTGTATACCAGCTGATCACTACATAACAGAGTGACATCAAAACTCCAAAGCAACCTGAAACCACACTAAAAATGTGACCCAAGGACCTGAGGAAACATCCTGTCAACAACACTCCCTTCAGCTCAACGTCCTTCACATCTGAAGGACAACATCTTCCATCAAAATTGGACCAAAATAGCTCTTTGATTTAATGATGATAGAGGAAGAATGATTGGTGACCAGACGAACAGCCTGAGGACAGTAGCACATTTAAAATAAAGTGAAAAATAGACCACACTCTTTGTGAGACATAAGATTTTCATATTGCACCTCTTATAGACGTATAATAACTATATAATACAGGAGAGAAAAGGAATCATACAAGCTCTACTGGTTCTTCTTCTCCAATTGAATATGGCTTAGTGTGTCACAGGTGTGTGCAAGAGACACAAAAAAGTGCCTATAATCTACAACCCAACACTCGGTTGTATAGAGAACATCTGAACAATAAAAATCTTCAATTGAAAGAACAATCCGTAACTGAACCAGTTGACAGCACAACAATGCATTAATAGACCAACAGCACACACCTTAAACAATACCAAAGCTTTCACAATCTCAGTGGTTGCCCAGCCCAAACATTTCTCATATTTAAAGAATTATCTCTGGTCTTTAATAATAATAATAATAATAATAATTCCTTACATTTATATAGCGCTTTTCTGGACGCTCAAAGCACTTTACACAATGGGGGGAATCTCCTCATCCACCACCAGTGTGCAGCATCCACCTGGATGACGCGACGGCAGCCATTTTTGCGCCAGACCGCACACCACACACTAGCTGATTGGTGGAAAGGTGGACAGTGATGAAGCCAATTGGAATGGGGATGATTAGGAGGCCATGATGGACAGAGGCCAGTGGGCAGATTTGGCCAGGATGCCGGGGTTAAAACCCTACTCTTTTTCAAAGAACATTCTGGGATTTTTAACGACCACAGAAAGTCAGGACCTCGGTTTAACGTCTCATCCGAAAGACGGCGCTCACTGAGCAGTATGGAGTCCCCATCACTATACTGGGGCATTAGGACTCACACAGACCGCAGGTTGGGCGCCCCCTGCTGGCCTCACTAACACCACTTCCGGCAGCAACCTAGCTTTCCCATGTGGTCTCCCATCCAGGTACTGACCGGGCGCAGCTCTGCTTAGCTTCAGTTGGCGACCATGTGAGAGTTGCAGAGAGCTAGCTGCCTTTGATTGTTAACCTGTTACTGCAGAATTAGATTACTTTTTTTCCAACTAAACTCATAAACTACTTCAACTCACAGAGCCACGAAGCAGATCATAAACTCATAATTCATGTATAACACTATAAGGAGGATCCTCTCTGAATCCACAATCCTTCATTAGGCAAGAAAAAGTGAAGCTGGTTTATTTGTAATAACTGTGCTGATGCTTGACTATCAGGTTAAACATTATATAAAAATAAATCACTGAACAAGAAGTATTATTGTATATTTTCCAGAGCTGAGTAGAACTTATTTATTTCATTGATACTCAAGCTAAATATGAAATTCTAATTACACTTAAACAGTTAATTCTAAATATGTGCAAAACAAGAATAAAAACTAACTCCGCTTAAAATTTGTAATGCTGTGATTCACCTGATAACTGGATAATTTGATTACTCAAAGTCTGCATGAATCTAAATTTTTATTAGTGCTACTTTGGTATTGTGACCTATTTCAAACTGCTGTGGAATATTGAATAGAGTTTTATATTAGTGCTCCTCCTCGAACTCTGACTTGACTAATGACTAGGAATCGTTAAGGAAATTCTGCCCAAGCCATCAATCAGACAAGCTAACTTTCTAATTTTGGCTAAAGATAACAAAATTAATTTGCACAGATTATCTGTTAATACAGATAACAGACACAACTATTTATCATTAATCATTTCTACTTTTTTATTAGAAGTATAAGGAAATGTTGTTATTTAGAATGTGTCTTGTTTATATTATTTGTACTACATCACATGACTTTAGTCATTTTCATACGCAACAAGGCAGTGAATCATAAGAAACGGGAAGGGGATTGATAGATATTTTTTGGACTGTTATTTGTAACAATCTATAGTTTGAAGCTTGGAAAGGTTTATGGTTCTTTCATTTGAAATTTTATTGCATCCTGACAAATGAAAAGTAAACCATTCTGTGCCCTACCCTTAGGGAAAATGGTGGAGAATGAAAAAGCAAACTGCCATTACACTTTTTTACACAAGATTTGTATTTTTTGATTTCATAAAAATTTCAAACTAAGATTTTTTTAAGAGTATATCATGAGATTACACTAAATAACTGATTACACATCTGAGCATGGTGAACAGACTAATCAAAATGATTCTAATACATAAACTTTTATTTTCTGTTTGGCATCCTCTGTTTAATTCCATGTTTCAAGAACTAACGTTAGTGATGCACAACACAGTAATATTAATAGTGATGTAATTATTGTGACATTATCAGCTTAACTGTTACACACATAGCGTTAAAATGAACTTACCATCGTTGTTGTGAGTGTTTATGTTGCTTTCATTGGTCGAGTGCTCTGCTTCTGCCATGTTCCTGCTGCAGGTGGAAAGACGTGTGTGCGTCCATCACCTCCTCACCTTTACTCCAGTAAACAATACATTAAACATTACTATTATCAGTCTAACATTTTGATACTGCTCGATTTTACCAACACGTCTACCGGTCATTCATCACCTAACACCTAAACTTCACTCAAACACACAACTTTTCGCCGTCTTGCAGGTCTCTTCGCTCTTTGTTCAGGCGACATTCAACTTTTATAAGAGACTGACTGCAAATGGCTCAAACTATAATCAAACTTTGCGCACGAGTAACATTAACAGCGCGATAGGAGCTAATGTAAAGTAACATTTCTTACCTGTTGTGACGCTGACACCGCCATTTTAAAACATCCTCACCGATGTGAACATGCCAGAAAAAAACACGCGAATCGATGAATTCACCTGCCGTACGACTGAATGGAGCGCTGCTCGGCTTCAAAACAAAGTCAAAAACTATTACCGTTTCCGCGTAAAACGTCAGGGGACGTAAAACACGGTGATTTAAAGTGAGGCAGAGCGTTTGGAAACTGTTAAGGCATATTGCCGACTGTCAGTAAATCAGGAAGTGACCTCCAGTGCCCTATCAACACTGTACACACAGCGCGACGCGATAAAACTACTACACGGCTGCCCACAGCACGGTCCCTGATAGTTTGGTCGCGTCCGTGTGAAGGTAAAGTATGTTTAGCTATGAATAGGTTTTTGCTTGTTTTGCTAACTCCGAGTAATAAAACCGGAGGCGGTATTATTATCAGCAACCAGTTGCCAGACTGTTGCTATAGTAACTAATACAAACCCTCAAACCTGCAACAGGCTGATTAAAGAGAACGTGACCCATTCCTCACACCACCTTTACCCTACTGTAAAAGTTCCAGACTGGTGAGTGCTAATAATAGCATATTTCATCCACTGCATCATATGCATTCTGCTTCAAACAACAGTAGAGTGCACCTGTTTTTTACCTGTCTAAAGTTTAACTCAAAAATTACCATGAAGTTTAATGTTTAGTCTATCAATTTGGATTATGCATCCATCTATAACTGAATTTTTGTAGCTTGTACAGGACACTTGTAACATTTCATTAGGTCTTATCTGTGCACTAAGAGAAAATACTGTGGATACTTTTTTTTTTTTTTTTGTCAAAAAATGTTCTGTCCTGGAAGATCTCTTTGAGGTCACACACACAACACAAAAATGAGAGGTTGTCCTATCCCAGCATGTTGGGTTAATGTTTCAATTAAATTTAAATTACACTTTTTAGTCCAATTGTTGGGTATATGTCCATATCTGACCCGATGTTAGGTTAGGACAACCCAGCATTTGGGATTTTGTTGTGATTTGTGCACTTTCCCCGGTCTGATTTTGTTACAAAAAGGTTGGCTCAACATCAAAGCTTTACTTAGAAAACCAGTATGGCAAGCCATTTTAACATTTACAGGCCTGTCTTATATCACAGGCCTGTAGCTAGGGGGGGGGGTTCTGGTGGTTCGAAAGACCCATCCCCCACTGATAAAAAGTCCAGAATTTGTCCCATACATGTGCTCATTTGTTTTACTTTGAGTACCATATACTCTATGCTATATAAAATAAGATTTGTATCACTATTATTATAATTACTACACACCCGACTACACTAATTTACACAGACTTATATTAAATAAGTAACAGTAACTAATGGATACTTGTAATTAGTATCCAATTAAGAAACAATGCAATAAAAATTATAGGTAAAAGTATCTTATGTTGCCAGTAATATCTAACAAATACTATCGTGATTTAACAAATGCATACTACTGTATGTAATGAACAAGTACTAGTCTGCAATACACCTATTTTCTAAAAAATAAATAACTATGCAATCAGTACTTTACAGCAGTGTTTTACAGTTATTACCTATTAAGTACCAGTGTTTCAAATAGAATAAATTACTAAAATCCTATAGATATAAAAACTAGCATATTTAAAAAAGGCACTAGTACCCAAGGAATAAACACTGCTTAAAGTCTTTTCTCTTAATTTTTAATTTTTTTTTAACTTGGGGCTAAAAACAGTAGCTTGGTAGCATGATTAAACATTAAAATAGCTTGCCATAAAACTAGACCTTTTCAGAATGGCTGCAGTCACAAAAAAGAACAACAACAGTTAACTTTTTTCCTGATGTTTATTAAAGGTTTAGAAACTTCACAATGAAACAAAATGATGTACCCAGATGGCATTAGAACAATTCAACCAACTTTGTGTTGGGGTTTGGTGACTTTCATCAGGTATTGAGAGGGAAGATACAGGATTGGGCTCCAGTTAAGCAGCCGTTACAAAGAGGAAATGGAGATAGTTCTGCTTTAAAAAGTTTTACAGCATTGCAATCAAAATGTAAACCTTTAAGTGCAGACTTAAGTCATCCTCTCCAAATAAACTGACCAAACCCTTAGAAATCAATCCAACAAATGTCATTTTTTAGTCTCCCACAGACAAAAAGAGTACTCTGGTTTTTGCAGCAACCATACCACCTCACACAGAGTTGAAAAATAAAACATTTGCAAATGTCACTCTCTTTCATTTTAAAACAAGTCTGTTTCAACTAAGAGGAACAGTTTCAAATTTCTGTCAAAGTAAATAATCTGTCTATGCCGTTTCGTTAGATTTGACTCTCACACACATTCACTTAATATTTGTGGATTTTCTCAAACGCTTAAATCTAAAATGTTTTTTTGATGTCCTCTGTCACCCACCCATTAACATTTCTTAAATTAACACGAGTCCAGTAACTTGAACTTTTGAGGACGGCAACATTTTACTCAAAGTGCTTGACAGAACAAAAAAAATAGGTACTGATTAAAGAAAATGATTTTGGAATCTGACATTGTTTAAAACAGGAATAAATGAATCTGAATTGTAACAATTTTCAACCAAAAAAATAGAAAATAAAAAGCATTCATTCATGCTGCCATACCCAGTTTTATCATACAGTAAAATAACTCTTTCTGCCATCACACACAGCTTCTACCACTATACATTTCTATGAACTGCATATTTATGATCTTTGCAAACCAATCACACTCCCATAACCACTGTGGAAAAGAAATATGGGGAAACACACACAAGCAGTTTCAAACTGGGTCATACAAAATCACTTCTTCAAGGTTATGGTCTACAGCCTTTTCCATAGTCTAGAAGAACACACTTCAACAAACCTTACACCCATTTCTGTTAAAGAAGCACACATCTTTTAGAAGGTTAGATGTAGTGTATAAATGTTAGCACCAATATGTAAAATACTCTATAGAATTTACTGTCAAGACATGTTTTTCTTTTCTTTCAATTTAACCCAAAGTGCATCTCTGCACAAGCCAATTAAAACTCACTAGAAAAGGGTCATTAGCTTTTTTCTTTCTTGACATTCGATGCAAAAAAAAAATAATAATAATCCTAAATAGTTTTTTTTTTTTTCGTATGATTTCAAAGGAATTGCCATTTTCCAATAATGGTCACATTCAGATCCCATCAGAAAATATTTAACAAATTACATTTTAAAACCAATTTCCCTCGTTTGTACAGAAAAAAAAGATGCACACTAACATTTTTCAACACAGAAAAATAAAGCATAGAGGGTGTTGCAAAAAGAAATACATTTTCCCACATGTTATTATTCTGCTTGTAAATTCACACTACTTCACACTCTGCTGATGTAGCACATGTAGTAATTTCTTATTTGTAACAAAAAAAAAAAAAAACTAAATCACATGGGGGTGGGGGGACCTCCAGGCTAGACATGTTTGATTGTGTTAAAGTCAAGAAGCAAACAAAAGCAAAAGATGGTATCAGATAAAATAAATAAACTCAGAATTAATTGTGTTTTACATAAAAGGGTTACACCATACCCCATACCACCTTCCTTTGCAAAGTCATAAAAAACCTATGTAAGTGACTTTTCAAACTTAGTTAGGAAAAGTAATTTGGAAGTTTGGAGAGGAGCAGGTAACCAAATAAAAGTAAACATACATCACAAATAAGCTTAGCCTTCAACCCAAAATTATGTCAATGTAAGGTTGTAGAGATATGGTGTGCCAAAATACTATATTGCTTTTACACACCCCTCTTCATTTTAAGTGTTCTATAGACACTGCTCGTTCTGTGATTACACAGTAAAACAGCCATAGATTTCTGGAAAAAGCTACATGAAATTAAACAACATTTAAGCAATCATCTGCCATTACTGCAAAAATGAATTATTAGTCACAATTTTGTTGAGTGAGGAGAAGAAAATGAACCGAAACGTTTAAATGTCACACTAAGCTTTAGGAAACATTGAAGAAGGTAATGGTTACAGCAACAAAGCTTAACTGATATTTACTATCAACTGTATGGTGCATACAGTTTTAAACAACTTGTATGAAATTGTATATTTGGGACAGAAAATTCAGGTATTTTCCAACCAAGGTTTTCCATATACTTGAAGCCATTATCTGTGGCATTTTTATTATACATGCTTACAAAATAAAAAGTAACTTCACAAAATCAAACCATCTCACAAACAAAAAGGAAATAAGAAAAAAAAAAACTTTTTTCAGCTCAAATGGATAAAATAATCTAGCAAACATATCAAATTGGTTGGGTTAAAAGGGAAATGCAATTTCAATTATTATTTTTTCAGTTAACTTGTTTTATTAGCTCAGTTTTAGTTGATTATTGTATTATTATACTCTCAATATACAACTCTGCTCTATATCTTTAAGATGCTTTCAGAGCAGCATAGAGCTAACGGGGAAAAACAACTAATGGTTGATATAATAACGCAAAAGTGTGTTGACTGGGACAAATGCGCAAATTTCTTTAATACATCAAACCTTACACAACTCTTATCCTCTACATTTTATTTAGAAGGTAGGAAAAATCAATTTTCTGGCGCAGTAAAGGGGTGTCGCAATCATAGTGCTTTCAACCTGACTTCTGAGTATTCATAGTTCGGTCACAGAAACTTAGACTATTAGAAAGACTGAGACTAGGTTCACAAGCACATGCACAATCAGCAGGACCACAGTTGTAGTGTATCCTTGATCAAACATAAAAGTGAAGCTAAAATCTATGAGGGGTAAATTAAAGAACAATCTTAATGCTTAACTATGCCATTTTATTCTTTGCAAAATGGATCAACCTTGGAATTAACAGACTGAAAACAAGTCTATAATAAATTCTGTTGACCAGAATAGTCTACCTGTACTTTCAACCTATTGCCAGGTTTTCCTCTTTTTATATTTTTGTTTATCTTGCCGTTACGCCTTTTTTTTTTTTTTTTTTTTTTTTTTTTTTTTTTAAACAAGAACTGATTGAGGAATAACAGGGCTTAGGACAGCGTGGTTAAGTAAGAGCCCACTGCAGGCCTTGGGCACACTGTTCTTGCAAGGGTCCTCATATCGATCCTCAAGCTTATGGTTGAAAGTGAAAGGAGGACTTTAGCATTGGTATGTCTCCATGTTCGGCAGAAGAATCATACATTACTGCTTCCTAAAAGCAAAGTAGAGAACAATGTTAAGAATTATGCAGACTTAGTTTGATAGACATTTGGTTGCAACTATAAAAACACATTTACTTTTCTCATGATTATTTCCTATTTAAGACTGGTTTATACGTCTGCATCAAGCACATGAAAATGGTCGGGTGCAGCCTTTGTACGGAGGCATAGCCCTCATTATGGCTGATGTGCACCTCTCGAAAAATGTTGCAAGCTTTGATTGGTCAGCATGGTAGCAGTGACGAGTGTGGGCAGTGATGATAGCTGAGCCTGATGGATCGAGTGTTTACAAGTGTTGAATCTCGTGAAGGAGCTCCAGATGGAAACTTTTGTTATGCGTTTACCTTATGATTAAAGCTGATTTACATCTGCTTGTTCCCACCTCTGAATGAGGGAATTTGAGCTGCTTGTACATTAAGGTAGTGCTCAGAAAAAGAAAAAAAAACAACCGTGAAGGAACTCGCCACAGAGAAACATTAAAACCTCACTGCCAGCTAGGGTTTCGGAAGTGTAATAGCAGAGCAACACAAACAGCATGCAGAAGTATACATGCACGGCTACATGCAAGGCCTGCGCAAGAGGTCATGGCGATCACTCGATGCATAAGTATAAACCAGCCTTTATTTGTTAAAGGGTTTTATAAAAGCACTGCACAACTGACACCTCAGTATCAATATTGTTAAATGGTGCACTCTTCTTACCTCCGCACTGAGAACCTGGAAATAAAGGAGAACATAGCGAGCTTTGCCACCAGCACTCTTCTTGTTGCATGTTGGTTAAGCACTGTTCTCCAAAATTCAACAGAGGAAACTGTTCAAATAAAAAAAACAGTTAAGAAGACAATTGAGGGGGCAAAATGTATCAGGGTATGTTCTAAATTGTTCATTTTTGACAGATTTAGATAACTGAAGAGCATCAATCACAGTCATGGAATATGCAAGTTAACTGCATAGTAAAGTGCAGATAATACCAATAGCAACAGCCAAAGGCACATGAATCTATTATGTCCATGTTAATGACAGAGGGGGTCCCTTACCTCATGCATATCTTGAGCAACATCCAGCGACTTCCCACTTTTAGGAATCTGACCAGTTGCAACACAATTGCAAGGCTCTGTCTCTCCGCTAGTCTCCTCTTGTAGAAGAACAGAAGACTGTACATGAGAACATGGCACTGAATCCGCTGCCACCTCACAATGTACACAAATCTCTTGTTCAGTAATTGGCAGAAGGGTGCTCCCACCCTCCTGCGAATCCAGAGACGTCTGGGCACTCTTCTCCATGCCAGATTTCTTTAATCTGGGTAGGAACTTGCCAGACTCCAATTCAGATTTCCCGTAGTAAGGGCCCTCACACTCTGCGTCCTCCTCGAGAGGCTTAAGGTCAGCCTGCGGGTCATCAAAGAGGTCTGCTTGACCAACTGGAATACTTGCTTCCTCTTTCTCAGACTCTACATCTGACTCGCTGCACCCACCTGGAGACAGTTCAGAGGCAGATATTGGCCGGAAATGAGTCCTTGGGGAAATTCGAATGGCCCGATACTGAGTCCGGTTGATGCCATATAACCAAGGGCAAAAGGGTTCCTTGTCTGAGCATAATATGGATTTTGGCTTAAATCCCGGACTGAAAGAGGCCATGTCCTCTGGCTCAAATGAGCACTCCACATGCAGGACTTGGGAAAAAGGGTTGTTCAAATCAAAGGATGAAAATGGATAATCCAGTCCCGACTCTTCTCCACGGAAGCCTCCGCATGATCCCAGTAAATCTTCATGGAAGACAACAGAAAATCCCTTATTCAAACCTTCCCCTGTTCCCTTGGTTGCCTGCTCATTTTGACCAAGGGACACAATAGGTCTCCACAGTGGCTTGTGGCCAGGAGCAAAGCAACTGCTTGTGTTCATGAACACATCCGCTCCAGCAATGGTTACCATGTCAGAAGATGTGGCCGCTGCACACTGCAACAAGCTGCCACAAGCATCACCAGGTGGAATCATTGCCCATTCTCTGTCGCCACTTAGAGTCTTCAGCTCTCCATAAACCCCACCCAGAATAAATGAGGTGCTTTCCTGTGAGTTACAATTCCAGGGCTTGGCCGGAGCAGTATAATCCCCATCATTCATTTTAGTTAGCTTGTTTTTAGGAAGTCCATCGTTCTCTTTCTGCCCATCCCAAAGATGATACTCCGAACACTGCACAGCTTTCTTTTGAATAATTTCTCCTTTTGCATCCTTGTCAAGACAGCTGCATTGGTAGCTGGTAGAATCCTCTGAAAACAAGTGCTCCCCTGTATTCTTTACCCCGAGTGTTAGGACACAGTCTCTATCTCCAATAGCCATCCAAATGTCTTTTATTATCCCTGAGGTGTATTCATCACTTTGTTGATTTGGGACATCTGAAAACACAACAGCATTATAGAGTTTACTTTCATCTTGCTCTAGTGCTATGCCACAAACAGACTCCAATTTCGATTTCTTATTGAAGGGTTGGTTGGACTCTGCGCTTACACTCGTTTCTTCCTGCTGGTGACTAGAGTTCTCTTGAAAGAAATCTAAAAGCTCCTCCTCTAGGCATAAAGGTGGGATAAGGGAGATGCAGCTGACCTCTTCATTGCCAAACTGAGCTGATTCGTCTGCTGGAGCACTGACCTGCTCACTATCGGACCGTGTCTCCTCTGAGTGGGACCACGGACTGCAGGTCCTTGTGGATAAGTTAGAGCAGTGTTCTGTTTCATCAAAGGCACTGTTTTTGGTCCAAATTAGCAAACGGGATTGTTTGTTACCTTGTGGATCTAAACAGCTACTTGAATCTACATTTTCCTGACCCCCTGTGAGTGAGTCGCATGGAAAAGAAAAGGTAGGGCTATCGTACTGCACCTCAAAAAGTGAGAAGTAGGGGTTTGGGGCAGAGCTGCTACCACTGGCCTCTTGGAGACGAGACCCTACATAAGCTCCAGACAGCTTGCTAAAATTAAATGGAACACTGTCCAACACTGGGGAGAGCCTGCCTGGAGAATCACCTGGACAACTTTCTCCTTCCAAATCTTCCAAGCTAGACGACGAACAGCACTCCCAGACCTGGGCGATGTTTTCCATATCTTGTGTTATAGAAACTTCTGCTTCTGAGGCTCCCAGAGAATCAACCCTTATTGCACTTTCCCCTTGCAGCTCAAGGCCATCTAAAACTACACATCCTGCTTCAAAGTGTTTTCTTTCAACGCTCTTCTGCCGAATCATGCTCAGGATTCGACTTTCTTGTACCGCATCTGAGGCACTAGGATCCAATATGGATTGATAAAGATCAACTTCATAGAAGTGAGTGAATTCAGACAGATGCTCATCATCTAAATCTTGACCATCTTCAGGAGGAGGGCAGCTTGGAATCCCATTTAGTTCAGAAGCCTCTTCGTCACCTTCCCCAGGCATTTCAATGAAGTGGCCATCCACGAAAGTTCCTGCTGCAAGATATGCCCTTTGAAAACAAGAATTTGCAATGCAGATGCCTTGAATTCTCTCCGATAGACAGTCCACGTCAATGGACATAGCTAGGTCATTGGAAGAGTCTTCTTTACTCCGATACTTTGTCTCCAATTTACTTCTACTGAGAGGGACAAAGTACTCAGCAATGGGCTCTGTGTACCAAAGAGGCTCCTCCATATATTCCTTTTTACTGGCCTCTCCTCCAGACTCCTGTGCCTCGACCAGATTAGCATCTTTGCGGATCTCCCTCAGAGGTCTCTTGCCTTTTTTCATGTAGTGCTGCTGTTGCTTAGGTGGGCCTCCAGTGGTACTCATGTTGCCTCGTGCATTTTTCCGTTCCTCTTTGTCAATTACTTTTAGGGCCAGTTTGACTTGTCCACCGCCACTTCGGCCCTTTTTGTTTCTGCCACTGACCTCACGAGACTTGTGTCTTATGCGGACTGATTTGCAACTAGGGGCCTGGTCACCCTGGTTACCACTGGAGCTTGAGCCTGCCTCACTGGAGCCAGAGGACCATGATCGGGGACGGAATCTCCCCTCTGACCGGTGTCTGGCCTGCCTCTTGCTATGAGGAGCAACCTGATCGTCAGGCATTCCTGTTGCGCTTCCATGGAATCTGTTTTCCTTCTCCCTCTTAGTGCGTCGCTGCTGGGCCTTCTCGCTGGTTGTGGAGGTGGAACTGGGTGCATCAACTGTTCGGTCTTTAAAGGCTTCACCCTCGCTGGTGCAGTCTTTTGGAGAGGATGTGTCTGTGCTTGTTTGAGGGACAGCAGATGATGATGAGCTGGAATATGTGCAGGCTTTAGCTGTGTTCCACACCGTCATAATTTCCTGAAGACAAACAGGTTTTTCTGACAGGGGTGGAAAAGCTTCATAGTACCTAAAGGAGGATATAATATAATATAATGATAATGACAATAATAATGTTAATAATAATAATAATAATAATAATAATAATAATATTAATAGCAACAACAAATTAAATACCTAAAAGAATTTGAACATAGAGCTGAGGGTAATCCTAAAGTTAGTTTGAGACTGATTTTGTAATTATCTTTACTATATCCAAGAAAATTTATTATGCAACATGGGTGCACTGTTAGGCTCTTAGAACAAACCACAGCCCATTCACTTCGAAGAAAGCAGAATATAGACTATACATTTAATCAAGCCTTTTCAGGTTTAATATAAGCCACATCACAACAGTCGTATCAACATAATTAATCACATTGCAGACTGTAAACCTGAATTACTTACATCTCAACCTGATCCTTAGAAGAAAGTGATTCATCTGGCTCAGGGGACTGAGAGATATCAGATTTTTTAATTCCATGCTTTTCTTTTTCTGTAAGACAATAGTAGCAATGTAATTGAAGCACCGCCATAAAACCATTTCATCTTTATTTATTTTCATTCCCAGCATAGCACTGAAAACAAACCAACCTTTCTGTTTGTTCTGAATATCTTTCAGTTTAGAGCAAAGTTCCTCAACCAAGCTTTCAATTCCAGAATTCTGAAGGAGAAAAAATAGGGTCATTTAAAATTACATTTTCATGTAAAAAACAAAGTATCAATCATTAAACAAATCAAGATTAACAGGTGTGTGCTTTAAAAGCAACAATTATGATTTATTTAAAAGCTCATCATTTACTCCATTAGACAACCACTGTCTAATGGAGTAATTTTCTGTATATTGTGAATTATTACAAAAATAATCAGTCACGCTGAAAGGCTTTAAGGCAAGGCAGATCACTGGATTTCAGAAAAGATTGTAGCTCTGAGATACAGCCACATTAACTGTCAGGCACATTTCAAAGCATTAACGAGGAGAGTTATTCTTGACTCTTTAACCAATCTGTGCTCCACTAATCCCATATTAATCTAAACTCACAAGTGATGTGACAAGCCCTGGGCTGCCATGACTGCATGTTGCTGAATAAAATTGCACCAATTGCAATGTATTGGTGAAAATGGTTATGGAGTAATAAAAAAAAAAACTATTTAATGAAAAATGTATTAAAGCAACAGGTCTTACTTCATCAGATGCTGAACGCAAACATTGCACAGCAGCTTGTTTCTTCATCTCTTCAAGACTAAGGTCAGTCCCTCCCTTTCTCTTGCTCTTCCCCCATTTCTTTGCTGCTCCTTTCTCCCAGCCCAGGAAGATGTCATTTTCCTATGGACAAGAGAAAATATAGGAGTACACATTGTATGTGCAGTAAATACAATGTCTCTCAGTGTCAATATCACCATATACTGTATGACATATTCTTATTCTGTGACTTCAGTCTAGTCATCTCTAGTACGCAAGTAGCAGAAATTCCAAACAAGCATACCACAGTCTAGATACATTCACTACATTTATTTTCCTATTTAATAGCAGGATTAAGTTGATTCAAATGTTTTTAAATATTTAGAAATAATCTGCAGACTACTTATGAAAATTATTGAATGCAATAAAACTAATACTAAAATAACCAAACTACTACTAAACATACATTTTAATTATACTGGTCGTAATTGCTGATAAACCACAGTTAAAATAAGTAACACAAAGAAATATAATACATTTATAAAACCATTCAAATAGTGTTAGATTTGTACAGTGTTTTTTACTATACCTGGTCCTGCAGGTCATAGTCATAGCTGTCGTGCAGTAGCAGGCTAAGGACATAGCGGGTGTAGATCATTGCATCTATGCCACATTTCTCCAGCTCCTGACCCAGCCAGCTCTGCACTGGCCCTAGTGACTGCAGTGAGGACATCTCTGAGGAGGACACAGGGCCTGACAAAGGGAAGGCCTGCGAGACTCTTTCAGGAGCAGGGCCGTCTGACTCGCCACTCATTGGACGCATGAGACTAGGTTGGAGCCATTCTCAAATGCAGCTGCATGTTCCCAGGTGGACATGAAAGTGCAAGAGGGAGTGGTATGAAGGGGACAGAGCTGATTTTATAGCAGGGGAGGAAGGACTTAATCCAGCAGGACAAACACAAGAAGGTCTACATGAAGACTCATGTAGAATCTTCTGTATATTTGTATTGCTTTAAGCAAGACGAGGCTCTAATCTTCAGGCATGGCTTTGACCACTGGAAGCTAACAGCTTATGGAGCAGGCTCGCATTCACTCATACGGGTTCATCTTGGGAGGACAGCTGGTTCCAGGATCAACCTGAGGGAGAGAGAAAAAAAACAAAAAGAACAGCAGCATTTAGTTTTTAGAGCAAATAATACAATTATTTATTGTTCATGGTATTTTTGAGATTTCTGTCTAGACAACACTTGTGTTTGGCACTTGATGTACACAAAAAGCTGTTAGCGAACCCACACAAACCAATTTAGACAACTATAAAACAGAACCACCAAAAATGATGGACCAGCATGCAAAGGAACTCAAGGTGCTTTCACACTAGTACTTATGAGCAAATTTACACCAGTTCATTCTTATGAAAGAACACTAAGGGCTTTTTCAGAAAAGAATGAACAAGAGATTAATATTCAACATTTAAAATTTCTGTGCATGGCTGTTATAAGACTTAAGCAAACATTTCATTTTAACAACACATATTAGCAAACATTATTTGTACGATTTATTGTGTAAAGAAAGTGCTTATTATTTAATAATTGCAGATTATCACATATGCTTTTTAAATGAAAATTCTAGCTTATTTTTTATATTGGTGGATACTGCATGATTTTACAACTTGAGTAGCAGTCAATAGTCTGTATAACACAATTTGGTACATGATACTTTCACTTAATTATTGAAGAGTCTATAAATTTGTAAACCAAATGTCTTGCAGTGTCACTTTAATTGTGATAAAGGTCAAGAATTTCATTAAATCTGTAGTATGCACTATATTTGGCTTTGGAAATGCAAAACAAAAGTAAAACTTCTATATGCTCATGCATTTTTATTACAAGTGCTCCAGCAACAAAGTTTTGGGATTAGTCAGCATTGTTTTAAGGTGAGGCTTAATATGGTTTGGTATGAATACTATGTGGAATTCAATCCGGTTGCAATCAAGCTAGACAATATTTGAGGATGTGTTACAATATGAATATTCACACTTGCATGGTACAAATAACCAAAAGCTATCCCAATTTAATTCTACAAATGAGTTCTGTTAACTTAATGTTACAAACAGTTCCTCTGAGTTATGTGTGAAGATTCACCAGTGATTTTTAAACGACACCAGAAGTTGTCAAAAGGAACTGTCAACCACTCATGGCAGCACTCATTTAGCTACTTGTCATGCATCATATATAACAACCCATACTGCAACTATAAAGTTACAGTTAGCACATCTTGCATGCTGTAATAGCAGACAACAAGTAGGTTTTAAAAAGACAATAAAAGAAAAAAAAGAAAGGTTCATAAAGAGCCGAACAGTTCCTCTTGATTTAAATTGCATTACAGGTCGAATCTAAAACACATTAAACAACATTCGGCTGTCATTATATTAATTATATTAAGTCAGCAGCTTTTAAAAATATATCGTTCAACTTAAAAACTATAAGATGAGCATATAAAGATATTTTTCATTGTAAAGTGAACCCAATTCATTGCCCAAGGTGTGAGGTATGATGTCTGGAATGTTCCCTAATTATGACTTGTTTCTGCTGTCTTGTTAAGCAAGACAATACTTGAGTTTCAAAAGAGTTTTAAACAAAAATGTGCCACAAACTAACTTTAAACAGTTTTAAATGTATAAGCACATGACATGAGCACACTTTATAGCTTTTTATAAGGCAAACACTACATGCCTAAAAAACAAAACAAGCATCGTGTAGAATTATCAATGCACTTTCACCCAAAACTTAATCCACTCCTAAGACAAAACCCCCAAATCAATCTTAGCATTTCATTCTCAACAAAAACTAAAAAAATTAAGTGTGAACGAAAGTCCGTGATAACTAGTTAACTGATAACTTGTTATGAATAATACTTTAACATACAATATAAATCATGATTTGAACTTAAATAATTGTCTTTAAATTTAAACAGTAACAAAAAAGTTCATTTCTAAAATGTATTTTTTAATTCATGTATTATTATTATCATTTTTTAATGCATGTTTGATTACCTTATAGAATAAACAAATCTCCTAGCTTTACTCTCCACGACTCAACTTAAAGGAAAATCATGCCACCATTTTCTCACACTTTATTATATTTATTACTTATTATATATTTATAAGAACTGGTTTCATGTAAATACTAAATGTATTTTAATTTGACTACAGTATGATCAACTATAAACCATTACAGAAGTCACTTATGAGCATTAAATTAAAAGTATATGGCTGCACACAATATATAAAAAAATTATAGTTACTGTAATAATACTACATATTCATATCACAGAGAGGTGTGAAGTTTATTTTATGTCCTACAATAGGTGCTATTATGCTATTGGCTAGACCGGGCCCAAAAGTGAACTCAGATCAGAGAACTGAAAATAAATATTAAATGGCAAGAGTACATAGAAACAAGGAAAATGACAGCAGCAAATAAGAACATCTGCCAAAGTTTTCAATCATTTATAGTGTTTAAAAGTTTACATGCTCGCACCTTGACAGTTTTCATTTTCATTGTTGCCTGAATTAGACTTGGATTAAAATTTCAATTATCCATTTATTTTTGTATAATGGATTACATAATTTTAAATAGCTAATAAAAATTTAATTTCTCAAGGGAAATATCACAAGACATATCATTATCATAATACTAACCAGTCGTACATTTTCCCAATATCATAGAGCTCTAGCAGAACACCCTTCAAACTACAACTGCATTTACTTAGTGAACTGTGTCACCTGGGACTTTTACTGTGCCAATCTGACTACCCCATTTACAAACTACTGGAGGTGCTACTTGCTTGAATGTGGAAATTACAAAGAACAAGATGTGGAGTGGACAAATGGTTTGTTTCCAATCCAAGTTAAAACTAAAAACATTTCAAGACACCGGTCCGCCACGCCCCCTTCTGTCGTCACTGCTCATCATATACAGTGAGCGCTCTGTAGAAGAGCGTTGAATAGCGCTTTCATTGACTAAACCGCACTTTAGAGATTCTCATGTCGTTGCAAATAACAGAAACCTTTATATTTGCATTTAAGACCAATTTAACAATTTAAAATGCATATCAAAGTCGTAAAAATGCCCAATAAAATTGCACAGCAATCATATTCAAATGCATGCCCTTTTCTTTTGCATTCGTACAGGATCCGTGTTTTAACTGGCAAGGGGGAATTACAGCGTGAAATACTATGCCCTTGACGTTTGCCCCCTTATATGGCTTAAGTAAATCACGTTAGGATTCAAGCCGTACGTTTGGTTGTGTCCATTCATTTAAAAGACCACCCAAAGGCGAAAGCACCAACGACGTCCCAATAAAACGTCTGTTAACAGCATCAAAATAGCTCGCATTGTTCGACAATGACAGGAGAGGAGCGGAATGACAGGCCAGCTGACTGGCTACGAGCTACAGCTATCACCTGACACAAGCCAGAGACCAGCAGGCAGAGAAATATTAAAGTGCTCAATTATCCACACCATATACAAGTTACTTATAACTTAAACATTTCAGATCATTTCAGATCGACAACATTACAACACGTTTATGTAAAATTTCCCTGCACCGGCCACTTAGTTGTAAGAGCGCAGCAGACGAACCACAAACCACTTTCCCCTTACTCAGCATGATTCAGCTAACATTCGTGTTGTTGGGCGAGAAAAGTGCGACATATAACATTAAGTTAATAACCATGCGCAGTTAAACAACCGACCTAACTTAGAAAATCCTTCCTGGCAAGAGATTTCCTCAGAATGCACAAGCTTCCTTTTTGTGTTATGAAACCCGTGATTTGGCTTTAACCGTCGGGCAAAATCTAAGTTACTGTCGTTTAAATGGTTTTCCTGGCGCAGATGAGATGTAAACAGATGACCGCTCACACAGTGTCGTTGGCTTGCGAACTCGGACACCATTTTACGCCAGAGAGTGAAACGCTAGTCCCGGTTAATCACTTCCTCGAAAACTAGAAGCGACGTAAATGTTTATGCTGCACAGGGAAACTCATAAACGGTCTAAACGCACACACAGTGTATTCACATAGGTATGAAAATACATCTGGAATTGAAAAAACAGAGGTTCTAGTTCCAAGTAGTACGCGGTAACGTTAGCTTTAAGCTAGGCTAGTGCACCGTTGTTGCTAAACCGGGGAGGAGGCGCGGCTCATTTGCCTGGCTACAGGCGTTTGTAATACTTGACAAGATGGCCTAAAACATCAACATTCATTCCAAGTCGGGCCTGCAGACTATTACTAATATAAATGAGACGCAACATGTCGAAACGCAACGTAACATGGTGAAATAATCTTACCTGCTGTGACCCTACGCAGTGTGCTAAATAGCAGCAGGAGAAGCGATGACTTCTCTCCCGCTGCCGTTCCGAGCTCGAGCTCTGAAGGTCCGCCGCAATCGCGTCACAGATATCAGGCGCGGGGCAGAGAGTGCGTTACGATTACGTCCTGAACTGACGACATTTTGGATCAAGACCGGCTTGCATCATATGTCGCCAAACATCATATGACAGGTCGGGTTGAGCCAACATGGCTGACAGAGAAGGACTTTAAAATGCGATTTCCGACTCCATTTTACTTATCTCCAGGCAACAAGACAGATTACAAATGTGTCGCCATAGCTGATATCCCTCCGCGGAGAGTTGCATCAGAATGACCGAGTTTTCGTCGGTCTAATATACAGTAATGAAACGTGAATTGCGCTCTGGGCCTTTAAAAGCAACGAAATTATTAAGAAATACAATTAAAGTGGCTAGATTTTGAGTCAACTTTAATTTGTGTCCACAGAAAACGTTTTAAAATAATAATAATAATAAAAACAAGCTGGTCTTTTCCAGTCTGCACTGGTTTACATAACTGCTGGATGTTTTGTATAAATAAATGTAATTTGTTTATAAAAAATAATTAGTTCATAATTGTTTTCCCTTTTGTTATATTAAAAACATCTCGTCAATCCTCATTCAGTCTTATTTTTGGATGTTAATATGAGAAATATGACGGGAAAGGAATTATACACTTTTGCGGGCAAAAGAATGCTATATATTTTCATCCTTCTCCCCCAGGCCTACTTGATTTTTTTCATAATTTGGTATCAACATTATTGCTTATTACATTATTGTTTACCTCCATTTATTGGTCTGCAGTCTGTCATCAGGACACTTCTAACGACGACTAGAGCCCTCTAGCGGCATCAACCAAACTGGCACTCTAATAACTAAATGGACATGTGTCAAAATTGACCAATGTCAAAATTTCAATATCACATTTTTTGTAACTGTGGTAAGTAGGCTATGTACATTACCTATTTAAATATATAACTTTCATTCTCAATAGTTTTTTTTTTTTTTTGCAAATGTATTTAGATACATTTCAGATAGTCTAATCAGCAACATTTAATGAGAATGTGATGTTATACAGTATAACCAAGTACAAGCTCATTTAACCTGTACTTATGACTGTAATTTACATTTTTAAAGAGATGTTTAGGCTATAAATACACATATGAAACCTTAATAGGTTAATAAAGGGCAAAATGCAATTTTCCATCAAAATAGTTCGAACTCGTTGACAGCACCATACAATAAATATTACCTTCTGGATAGCCACTCCCATTGGTGTTATCTGAAATGTTTCTAATAACAAGCCTAATGGTAAGACAGTTAATTCATGGAGAATTAAGACCTTTAAAAAAGAATACAGCAGTAGTGTAAAGACACTGTGAAGCAAATTCTATTCTGATTACTATAAACACTTTAGTCGCAACTCATTACTTCATTAAAAATTAATTTTATTTCGTATTAATATATATATATATATATATATATATATATATATATATATATATATATATATATATATATATATATATATATATATATATATATATATATATATATATATATATATATATATATATATATATTGTCATGAGCGTGTGCACAGCTCATTACAGTTTAACTGAAATATCGAACAAACTAATTTGCATGAACATAACATGTCTCCACTACAAGGTTAAACTTCATCATAGAAACCTTTCAACCCCAACAAAACAGATCATCTCTGTATTGGCGAATAGTGCTCAATATCAACATTTATTATACAGTCTGATGAAAAACATGCTGGAAATCTGCGTCTACTCTGTTTAGGGTCAGAGAAAAGAGTTAACATAACTATAATGAATCTTTCTTGATATTTAAGTAAAGTGAACTAAATTAATTGAATGACATTTAATAAGTTTCACTGTTCAGTTTTACACAGCCCAAAAGTGGAGGAGTGTGACTGCACTGATGTGCAGCGATTATACAGATATGTTTACATTAATGCATTTAGCAGATGTTTTTATCCACTTGACTTAAAAAGAGGAACAAAGGAAATCATCAAAGAACTAGGTTATTGTAGCACACAATGCCAGGTTTTTAAACTAGTTTAGAAAACTATAGACAAGGTTGATTAACTGATTGAATGATTAATTGATTGACCAAACATCTGATTTTTTGATTGACCGACTGCCTTTAGAAGAAAACACATCCATGATGCACATCTCCCATTTAACCACATCCCAAAGGTGCTCTATAGGATTGAGATCTAATGACTGTGGAGGCCATTTAAGTACAGTTAACTCAATGTCTTCTGCTGCTGTAGCCCATCTGCCTTAAGGTTCGACATGTTGTGCTTTCAGAGATGCTCTTCTGCATACCTCGGTTGTGATGAGTGGTTGTTTGAGTTACTGTTGCCTTTCTATCAGCTCAAACCAGTCTGGCCATTCTCCCCTGACTTCTGGTATCATCAAGGCATTTTTGCCCACAGAACTGACACTAACTGGATATTTTCTTTTTCTGACCATTCTCTGTAAACCCTAGAGATGGTTGTGCAATAAAATCCTAGTAGATCAGCAATTTCTGAAATACTCAGACCAGCCCATCTGGCACCAACAACCATGCCATGTTCAAAGTCACTTAACCCTTTCCAGGCAGGCGTTGCTGATTTGCAACAGTTAAACCATAGGCTTTGCTGTTTCTAAAATTTAATTTGAGCCTGAAAGGGTTAAATCACCTTTCTTCCCCATTCTGATGCTCAGTTTGAACTGCAGCAGATCGTCTTGACCATGTCTACATGCCTAAATGCAGTAAATTGCTGTCATGTTATTGGCTGATTAGAAATTTCCGTTAATGAGCAGTTGGACCTAATAAAGCAGCCGGTGAGTTTATATATATATATATATATATATATATATATATATATATATATATATATATATATATATATATATATATTTTTTTTTTTTTTTTTTTTTTTTTTTTTTACAGCAGTCTTGCACAAATTCTGGAGTCTCCCAAATCACTCTTTTTTTCTTTTTAATGCAGGTCTATGTTGTTTATATTACTGTATAACTGTTTGAGATGACAGACAAAACTCAATGTCAATCAAAGTTCAATCACCCATTGTCCTGATTAACAGAAGGAATTTTTATTTAAAAATTAAAGCTTATACCAATAATACAAGCCATGATATTGTAAACTTAGTCATGTTACATTCTATTTGGATTTTAACAGCAGAAGAACAATACGAAAGCAATGAGGCAAATTGTATTTTTCAAACCACATCTAATTCACTATAGAACAGGATCAAAATTAAAGCAAAACATTTCTTCTTCTTTTCTTCTTTTTTTTTCTTCCATTTTTTGAGATCGAGGGGTCAGTGCCAAAACATTTAAACCAAAACCACAGGACAATAAATAAAGCATAAAAATCTTAAAACACTGATCAACATATGGTTTCTCGAAAATATCCCCAGTGAAATGTAGAAGCAAAAGGTCAAATACTCAGGTGGCATTGAAATATTTGAGCGATTAAGACAGCCGAGGCTCAGGCCTCTGCATTCACATTCAAAAATCAGTATTTCATCTTTGTGCTTGTTTTAGCTTTGTACAGTATAGTGCATAAAGACATACTATGCTGGTAGTGAGTCATTGGTGATGATTCAGGTAATTTCCATTGAAACATAAAACGACACACACTCTTTTAAATATATTAAAATCACTGTTACATGGATGGAGATGAACTAATTTGGCCAGGGATCTAATTTGTGTGTATGATATAAAGATATATAGTTGTTTGCTGGTGCCTGTGTGTCTGTTACTCTTCTCTGGCATCGCAGACTGGCACGGCAGATGGCATGTTCTCAAGGAAATGGGGTCCGACTGAGAGCGAGTGGGCAGTTGGCTAGAGGAGGGGGATGACAAATATCAACCACAAAATTGGCCCTTCTATCACTCTATATGAACTATCCGCCTTTTTCTGACAATCCATGACGCATTGCAGGAAGAGTAACTTCAGTGTTAGAAATATAGAGAAATGTTTTTTTTTTTTTAAACGGGGTATAGGCGGCATCATTCTCCTTAAATCATCAATCAAATAATTAAAGCCAATTTATTAGAATTAACATGTTATATATATAAAAAAAAAAAACAACAGTCATAAGTGTTAGTTGAAGTAAACTGAGCTGTATTCGTCAATAAAATAAGCTTTGCATTAATGTATGGTTTGTTAGTAAGTGAGGGTTCCAAAAGTCTAAATCCTGAGAAAATCACATATAAAATTGTCTGAATTATGTCTAAGCAGTTCATATGACTAATTAAATATTACGTTTTGATATATTTAGCAAATTCACTAAGTGCTTTCACCAATACAGTGTTTACATAGTGTATTACAATGTATATTTTTGACTATTGTTAAAACTGTTGGCTATTGTATTGTGGTCCAGGGTCACATTTTACTTTATTTATAACCCCGAAAATCAAAACAAACATTTCTACAATAATGTCATAAACAGTTAATGTCAGAATTATTAGCCCCCATTTGATTTTTTTTCTTTTCTAAATATTTCTCAAATGATGTTTAACAGAGCAAGGAAATTTTCACAGTATGTCTAATAGTATGTTTTCTTCTGGAGAAAATATTATTTGTTTTATTTCAGCTAGAATAAAAGCAGTTTTAAATTTTTTAAAAAACATTTTAAGGACAAAATTATTAGCCCATTTAAGCTATATAATTTTTCGATAGTCTACAGAACAAACCATCGTTATACAATAACTTGCCTAATTACCCTAACCTGCCTAGTTAACCTAGGTAAGCCATTAAATGTCACTTTAAGCTGTATAGAAGTGTTTTGAAAAATATCTAGTCAAATATTATTTACTGTCATCATGACAAAGATAAAATAATTCAGTGATTAGAAATGAGTTAATAAAACTATTATGTTTGGAAATGTGTGGATCTTCTCTCTGTTAAACAGAAATTAGGGAAACAATAATTCAGGGGGGCTAATAATTCTTACTTCAACTGTAAATTAAATGTTACTGATATGTATGGGAATACATACAGAAATATAGAGAAGCAAAACACTGAATTCAAAATAGCTTTGGCCACAGATATAATTGTAATACTAAATATACTTAGTTTCAGTTCTTTTGAATGGAAGTTCCTCCAACCTGAAGTGCGACCGATAATTTGAAATGCATCAGGCACATACAGAAAAAGATGGATAACTTTGGACGACTCAAATAACCCTTCCGCTTACATGAAATCATTTTAGTTGACCCCGATCCAAACTGTTGCATGCATCAAAGTAATAAATTAGTCAATGAAAACAGGACTTATTTGTCGAACAATTGACCTGCACGTTTGCAAATCTATTGTCATGTCCAACAAGTGTTTTGTCAATTGAATTTCCTCTGAGTGGATAAACTAACTGGATAATAGCCAGTATAGTCCTGAAAATGAAGAGTTTGGTGATTTTGGAAACTTTTAGAAGGGGTTCCCGGTAGATAGTGTGCGGAAAACAGTAAACAGGCATCAGGGCAACAAACAGCATGTAACCGACACACAGAGATTTGGTTCAACACTTTAAAAGTGATTCATCAAAGGAATATTCAGGTTTGAGTAAATGTACACAACTTTCCACAGCATTATAGTGATTACCACAGAAAATAGAAGTGAAAGGGAATGAGCTTTACAGGCTTTACCAGTCACTGATGGATAGATTGTCGATTCTAAGGGACTCTGTCTATGATTTACACAAAACGATGATATTTTTGTTTGTGTGTTTGTAAGAGACACAGTGATGAGTGGTGAATATTTTCTGTGGTAAATGACAAAGCTGTAGATCAAGCATGTTTTTAAAATTCTCTGAAAGGAGTAAATTGATAATTGTGAATAAAAACCTGTTTCCTCACTCATTTGAACCTTATAATATCAGTTTGTATCACCTTCATGTTAAGAGAAAGAAATTGTGAATTTAAACACAGTCGGAAACGGGGAATTAAATTAAGAAGAAGATATTGGGAAGGGGGAAAGTTCAGCTGTCTGGCTGGAAGCAAGGCATGTTTAATAGAGAAACTAGTTCCACAAAATGGTATTAGTAAGAGTTAAATTAATACTTTTTTCGTTGTTCAGTTCTTTTAAAATGTTAAAAAATATACTCAATAGAATTGTAGGAAACTCTGTTTTTATGTGGTTGTTGCTAAGTGGCCACAAAAACAAGCAAAACAATCATATTAAAAATTAAAGTAATACATTAAGAAAAATGTCATCTTAATACTTAGACATTAAATGGTAATACAACGTAACATTGTTACATCTTTATTGAGTTTTCATCTTCGCATTAGATTGTAAATAAAGCTTTCTTTGTCTTCTGCTTTGATTGTTATCATAAAATCTAAACTATAGCCAAACATTAACATTTGAATATAGATCCAAATGTAAAACCCAATTAAAGTAAGAAATTATTCTCACTTAAGGGAGTTTAATTAGCAGACTTTCTTTCTTTATTTTTTTTTAACAGTGTACGGCCCTGACCTTTCTTATGTATGGACTTTTACACTTTCACTGTAAAAAATGCAGGGTTCCACACAATTCTTTCATGTTGTCCCAACACAAATCGATTAGGTTAACTTAACACTTTAAACAAATTTATGTGAATTAAACATAAAAAAATAAGTTGTCCCAATGAAATCTCAAGAATTGTGTTGTTCAGCCCATTTTAAATAAGTATTTTGAACATGTTGGGTGTAGAGCTAACTGTTTTCCCCCTCCAAGTATAGGACTTTTTGACAAATCTGTCAATCTATTAACAATCACAGTAAATTAAGATATTGATAATAACAATAAATGTTTCTTGAGCACCAAATATCAGAAAGCTTTCTGAACGATTGTGAAGCTGGGATTGCAATAAATTAGAAAACTTCTATACTACATTTTCACAGTATTTCTGTTTTTACTGCATTTTTGATCAAATAAATGCAGCTTTGGTGAACAGAAGAGATTTCTTTTTAAAAACATTGCAAACAATTTACTGACCCTAACCTTTTGAATGGTATTGTACATTTAAGTGGAAAGTATATACACTGTAAAAAATGGCCGTGATTTCAACGGTAAAAAACTGTAAAAATGCTACAGTACAAATCCGTAACCTGGTTAACGGTATGTTTCCTCAATATATACAGCGAATAACCGTAAATCGACTTTCCCTGAATTCCCTGCATGGCACATACCTTTTTATGCATTTGGTTGACATTAATTTGGATCTTTTTAGTTGTTTTTTTAGTGTTAAATAACTTTTACGGTTTGTACCGTGCTTTTAACGGTAAAGTACTGGCAACCACAGCTGCCGTTTTTTTATCGTAAATTTTACGGATTTATTTTTTACAGTGTAATTAAAACTCAATGTAGATTTTGATTTTAGATATTGTTTATGAAGTCCTTCCAACTTCAAGTATTTTACAAGTTTATACTGATTATTCTGTGCAAAGCAAGTGAAAATGATATAAAATATTAGATAATAAACTATATATAGTTGGAGAAGGTGACAAACTGTCAAAAGAAAGGCTAGGTATAGTAAGGAAACAGGTTTTACTCAGTGAATTTAGTTTCTTTGCTTTAAAACTGGTTAAAAATATACAAATGCTGGTTTCGTACATGTACACAAATCCACAGGTTGGTCTTACGGTTTTCAAAGTTTGCAGATACAGAATTAGGATTGTTCAGGTTTTGCGGTATGAACCGGTCACTACAGTCTTTGGCAGTGTAATAACAGCACAAAAACATAAAGACAAAACTTTTTCAATAAATAGGACTAAAATATGTCAGTTCAATAAAAACAAAGAATAAAATCCACTTGCTCAGTACCAACTAAAACACGAAAGCAGTTCTGCGATAAAAAAAAAAAAAACTGTAACAGCAGCGATTAAAGCATGTGAATGAAAGTCATTCTCATTCCTGGCAAACTATCTTGAGGCCTTGAACTAACAACACATACAGAGAGCGAGAGAGAGAAAAAAAAAAACAGTACAATCTCTTGTGTAACAAGGAGGAGTTTTCAAGCTTCTGTAAACTTCCTAAAATCAGCCCAGAGCTGCCTGGAAGGAAATAACGTTTTGAGGACATTTGACTAAGTTTGAGAACAACCGGAGACAATAAGTTTGGTAGCAGTCCTGTCTAAAGAAATTCAGAGGAGAACTTGCATCGGTACTTCCAGCTGGATCAGATGAGATTGTGGACTGAGGATGCTTATTCCAACGGCAGAGAGCAACTGTGCCGCGACAGAAGCTTCGGCTCATAATCACACACAGATGTCTGCTCCTCACTGAAACATTTCCTTGCTCATAATTAAAAAGAAGTTCAAAATGTACTTGCTCATGCAAACTGCAAGTCTCAGCAAAGCTGTACGAGCTGCCAACTCAGGCAAATACTGATTATACATCTTAACTAATCAGATACGCAGACTCACATATAAACAATGTTAAATGTAACCAGAGTAAAACAAGCTCATAAAGGAAAGAGAAATCAGCAAAAAAACATCACAACTATATATGTCCCATTGTTGTGATTTCTGCTTTTCGTACAAGCTGTGATTTACAAATTGAACATTAGTTGGATACAGTGTTTCGGCATTTTGATACATAAAACCTTGAGGTGCAGCATCAATGCTTTTTGAGTCCAACTAAAACGCGCGATAGAGCGTCCGACAGCACGCCAATCGAGAAGGCAAAGGTATGTTGAGGGAAAAATGTACACCGTTCAGTCTCAGTCCCTCTCTCTCAGTCTTAGCGAATGAGAAATTTGACAGGCTGCCTTTAGATCTGTCCGACAACAGCTATACAAAAACCAAACGGACCCCGGTACGAACAGAAAGACACATATTAAGGCCATTTTGTATTAAATGTGGTAGGCTAAGCTCGTCCAGAGACCAACCTCATATCCGGAGTTAAACACACAGTAAACATCACCTCGCTCCTTCGGTTTCTGTGTCACACATAAACACACACACATATACTGACGGTTCAGATTCATCTTTCAACATTTGAGTATCGTGAATGCACACACACACGCACACACGCAACAAATCTCTTTTACAAATCGTGTAAAAACATCCTAGCAGTGAAAGTAAAATTGCTGTATTTGTAGGCTCAGAAGTTGAAGAGGTCCCTAAACCTATTGTCAGATTTCTGTCATAAATGGAGGCCTCGGCGTCTGTTATTGTGTTCATACAAGGATACAAACCTCATTGTGTTTGACCATTGACGGACTGCTGAGTGTTATTATGTGGGCAGTACTTGTGTGTGATATATCTGGCTACCACTTCTCTTTTACTGTTGTGGTAATATAAAGTATTTTTAATAGCTGACTGGCGTCTTGATTGAGGTTTTAGGGATGGGAGTGTGATCTAACATCTGAAAGGACTGGTGTTGTGTTTGAAGACATGACACTTGAGGTACTGAGAGTCAGTGCCTGCCCCGTGTGTTGGATGAAGCTCAACTGCTCTGTGAAGGTTTTGGGCTCCTGGAGGCTTTTACTCCTCTGAGGTCTCCCGGAGCTGTCTTTCATACAGGCTGAGGACGTGATGGACAAACTGATACTGCTCCGCCGTCTGGATCATCCCACCTCTGAACACACAACAACAGTTAATGTATTTCATTCACAGAACAGCATGTAGCGGTGCTTCTGTGCCTAATGTTACACCAGCAGCTTTTACAGCCATTTGGTCTGTGACTTTTAGGCCCAGAAATGGCTCACAAGTGATACCAATTGTGTTTAATATGGTGAACATATTATACCTGTCCAAGCGTAGCTGGCTTGTGGTCTTGAGGATGTCGACCACCCCTTCATTGCTAAGCTGCTGGCACAAGATGGAGGTAGCAATGAAACAGCCAGTGCGTCCAATCCCTGCACTGATAGTAGAGGAAATGTTTTTTTAAAAGCTCTGTGTGCGTTTGCGCGTGTATGTGCCTACTTTTTAAATGTTCCCACAAGTATAGCGATATCAGTAAATTTTGACTTTATAAATTAAATATTTTTGGTCCACATGAAGAAAATGGCTCATATATCACACATAATTAAGTATTTTAAGAAAATGAAAATGCAGATTGTTTGCTGTGAGGATTAAATAAAAGTCATTACATCTATGGAAAAAGTCCCCATAAAGATAGCTGTACAAGTTTGTGTGTATGTGATTGACAGTACACATTATACTGTAATTAATCTTATAAGTAAATCCTAAAGACTTTTATATTAAAAACTAAGCAAATGTGAGTATTTGCACTGCCACATAATAACAGCACAAAGAAGCAATGTCACGTGAGTCTATTATCATCTAATAGGAATTCACACAGCTTCAAAAAAAAGCTCAAGCATATAAAGAGACTACATGCACGTTTAAACCCCAGCATGTGCCTATAAACACAATATTGTTGCATTGGTGCAGATGCTATTTTATCAGTACTATTCTAATTCTTGGAGAAAACAGATGTTAGGAGAAAATGTCTAATATAAATTTGCAGGATGACTTTAAACGGCACCTATGATGAAAATCATCTCTTGGAAGCTGTTTGGACAGAACCGCGTGTAGATATAGTGTGTCCACTGTCATATTGGGGAGATATAAAGAAAGTAAGTCTCTTTTTTGGATCCAAATCCCTCCAATTTTGAGGCCCACTGCAGCGTGATGTAGGAGTGCAGTTTCACCGCCCACCGAATTGATTGACAGACGTGTATTAACATGTCTGCATAACGCGTATAATCATATCTAAAAAACAAGACCTGTTCAAAGAACTGAGATGAAAAGATCTGTTCAACTCAACTCTGTGATCAGCTGCAGCTTAAGAATGAGTTTTACAAGTTTAAAACGTTTATAAAACGTGTATGTTTTTAATAAAGTCAGTGAAATTGCTATGTAATTCATCAGCACAGCGGCATCTCAGTACAATTATAAAAGGAGACGCTTCAGCATTTGTGTGTGACTCATCGTTTCAGAAAAGCTTAAATTAACTCCGCAACAAATGCATCAAATAACTGCTGGGAAAGTTCTTACTGTAGCATAAATATAAGACCTGCTTCATTCGTGTCTGACACTGTGCTGTTTATCTGATTCAGCAGGAGAAACAGACATGCATCAGGGCAATAGAAAGAGATCCGCACATGGGAATGGTGGGCGGGGTTAACCAGCTCATAAGCGTTAAAGGCACAGGCAACAAAAAAAGCTAGAGTGTTCTCAGACCTCAAATTCCTATATTCTGAAAGGTATAGGAAATCATCTGATAGGTATTTTGAGCTGAAACTGTACTGACACATTCTGGGGACACCAAAAACTTTTTCCAAAAACTATGACTTTTGCCTAAATAAACTCCTAATTTTGCTTATAAACAGTTAACATAGTGGATAATATGTGTTTTATAAGTACTACTAAACAGCCAATATGTCAATAATTGGCAAGTAACTTCTTAATAGTAAGAATTGGTCCCTATTCAGAAGTGTTACTATATATATAGTCACCTTAGAATTATAAGGTTCTTTCTGACATTTTTGTCAAAATTGAGTTACAGTGAGTGACATATTCTTATAAAATGACAACTTATTTACATTATAAGATTTTTTTTGTAAGTTGTTTACATTGTAAGACTTTTTATTTAAAAAAAAAACAAATGTTACACATGGTGTTTCTATGGCATTGCTCAATATCTCAGAATCATTAAGAACGCAGATAGAACCTTATAATTCTAAGGTGACGATATATATATTTTATTTTTTCATTATTTCACTTTTTTTTAATTCATAAGATAAAAATGTTACCTGCAGTGGACGATGACAGGGCCACTGTTCGGCGGAGCCTGTTTTCTCGCTTCCTCCACTTCCTGCACGAGCTCCAGAAGAGGCGGGGCTTTGTCTGGTGTTTTCTGATCTGGCCAGGACGTGTACCAGTACTGTCTGAGAGAGCGCTCCTCACCCTCACTCTGCATGCACCCACACACAAACACAAACATTCACCAATGTTTTTATTATCATCTGTCCATGATCAGCACAAATAAAGGAGCATTTCCAAGCTTTCATCAGCACTGGGGCACAAACTACATGATAAAGGCAATATTACTCTGAAAAATGATTATCTGAATGATACAGGTTCATCTCCACCATCAGGATTTTTCACTGGGACACAATAAAGGGGCATTTCACTTGTACTTGTGCCTTAGTAAAAAGATCTAGTGATGCCCCAGTAAACATATTCACAGAGCGCCCATACTAACGACAAACACACATTTTTGTTATATATCTTTAAAATAAGAAATGTGCCTCACAGCAAGAAGGTCGCTGGTTTGAGTCCCAGCTGGGTCAGTTGGCATTTCTGTGTGGAGTTTGCATGTTTTTCCAGTGTTTGCGTCAGTTTCTCTCATAGTCCAAAGACATGTGGTATAGGTAAATTAAATAAACTCAAATTAACCACCGTGTATGAGTGTGTATGGATGTTTCCCAGAGATAGGTGGCAGCTGAAAGGACATCCGCTGTGTAAAAGATATGCTGGATAAGTTGGCGGTTCATTCCACTGTGGCGACCCCTTGTGAATAAAGGGACTAAGCCAAGAGAAAATGAATGAATGAATCTTTAAGATAACACAAATTTGGTAATTAACTACATTTCCATATCAATTATGTGAAACACTGCATTACTAAGAATATTTGTTGCCATGACAGCAATGCCTCCAGAGGAAACAGTGGAAAACACACTCAGAAGCTGAAAAACACTGCTCTCAACCTGAACTTCCCACTGTCTGTCCCTCTCCTCTTACTCCAGATAGACTTTTCTGTAACCATGACATCTGTTTTTATTAGTTATATTGTGTACATATCAAATAGTAGTTGACAAATATGTTTGTAAAAAAAAAAGTGATGAACACTTAATCTGTATTTCCTAAATTCCACCTTTTGCTGACTGAATACTACTCAAAAAGGGAAGGCAAGAAATGATACAGCCATGTCTTGTCTTCCATGTGTTCTAAACTGATTTAATAGTGCTGAAATATTGTCAATACACACTACCTGATTAAAGTCTTGTCGCCTATGCAAGTTTAAGGAACAACAAATAATAACTTGACTTCTAGTTGATCATTTGGTATCAGAAGTGGCTCATATGAAAGGCAAAGGCCTCCAGATTACTTATTTTACCAAAATAAAATATGATCATGCCTTGATTTTTAATTCTTTAAACAGGACAGTAAGGTCTGACTTTACTTCGACTAAAATCTTGTCATTTAACAGAAATAATATACTAATAATATACTAACTAATAATATAAAGTCATGGTGCAGTGGAGGAAGAATTAATATTGTGTATGACTGCCATGACATTGGAGATCTGCATCCATACATCTCTGCAAAACCTCAAATAACGTAATAATAAAGTCATCTGGAATGACAAAGAAAGCGTTCTTGCAGGACTCCCTTCTCACCAAACTGCTCAGGTATCCACAGGGCATGCTAACAAAGACTTGTGCCACATTGGTTTCAATAGACCATAATGTTCACATGATGCGTCTTTCCTATACACATAAAAGATACAGGTTTCCTCCTTTGAGTCAATGGCTACTGCCACTTTAAGAGACAACAAACTTACAGACAAAATAAAATTAGGCCCATGCTTCATTGTGATATATTAAGGTTTTGTGAATCAAAATCCTCAGTGTGAGAAACGGACCATTACTTACTACATTATTACCTTTAATCCACAGCCACTGCAAGCACATTTATAACTGTCTGGAGCTCAAGCTTTTTGATGCATAATGGAGTATACAAATTGATAAACACTGTGATGCATAGAGTTTACAACAGTAAAAAGTAAGGACGTGTCGTGTGTGTTGTATTGTTCAGCAGAATGATGCTTATGCTTATCCTGGATGAAGCAACCAGTTGTAAACAGACAGTGTAAAATTGTTTCACTCAATTTATCATTGTCAGCAACGACAGGTATTCATTTTGTTTTGCTTGTTTGTTCATTTTTTTACTGTCAAAGTTCCAGTAGCCATAGCATACATGTGTTCAAATCTTTTCAGCTCGCAAGCAAAAATTCTAGATGTGCAATGAATAACAGCAAAGCAGAGAGCAAAATAAATGAGTGTGCAATGAAAATTGCGGTAACTGCGTAATATGAATTTTTATTTTTTTGCAATCCAGAATATTTTATAATCGATACTATTTACATAAATTTTTTTAATTAAAGGTTCTTATATTTTTTATTTCTATGTACCTAATTTTCCTCTAAAACAAAATATTTTTGATTGAATAATAAATAAACAATACTAACCCCATACTATTAACTAATATTTCTAAAATCACAATCCACCATAGTTACAGCTAATTCTTCTTCGATCTTCTACTGAAGAAAGTCACCTGCATTAAGAATGGCCTGAATCTGAATAAATTAGAGCAGATTATCATTCTAGGGCAAAATATCTAATCGACTTGTTGAAAAGTTCTTTTCAGTTGCTATAACTCAATGCTGATATAAAAGATCATGTAAACTTACACATTAGGAGTCCTTCAGTCATTTGCTTCACTTATGAATGTCAGCTATTTTTTCCAAAGGCCTTTATCATAAACACAGAATGCATTATAAACTCAGACAGACCTTCACAGTGAAAATCCTTAGGCTGTAGTCATCTGCCTGGATGACCTGTTTGACAGTGATCTCGATACCCTCACAGGTGACACTGTCCTCTGGCCAGTATTCTGTGCATTTCTGTAAGACACACACAGAACTGTGTTATTCTATTTGCAGTGAAATCTAATACAGTTTTTAATCCCATTCAGAAAAAAAAATCCATTGATGATTCTTGGAATTCGCCTACACTGATAAAGGCTACTAAAGAGTTTAACTCACCTGAACATGCTTCCTTTATTAACTTTTAGACTACAGCTACATGCTTAAAGTTTCCAAGTGACAATTGGGAATATAATAAGTGTTTTATTTATTATCCAGAGTTGTTGCTCAGTACTGAATAGTGACAGCTGCAGGGGTTGGACTAGAAGAACTATTGTAAATCCAATTTTGCATATAACTGACAATTAATGAAGGAATCCATCTGAACAATCATAATATCTGTAGGATTTTTAATAGCTCAGCATGAAAGCTTGAATCATCCTTATCATGTGAGCATATGGCATATGTGTGGATATAGCCAAACCTCATTTTTTTCTTCAATGTTAGTAATCATGACGATAATGGGACAGCGCTCCTGCCAAACCATCCTCCAGAAATCCCCCACTGTGTTCACAGTCGGACCCTGTGTGGCGATATATGCTTTTTCTTTCCCACCGTAGCCCTGAAACAGCACAAGATTAACCCTGAGAAAAATAGTTTTATTTTTTAGCTTGAAGACCATAGTATTTCCATGGTGCAAATACTGGACAATCTTGCAAAGTACACACATAAAAGGTCTCCTAAAACCTTCTGTAGTTTGTGAACCCCTGTGATAAAACTGTATCATTTTTAGCCTGACTGAAAACAAAAACAAAATATCTGAATTGACTTTTCATAAATTTAAATCAAGGCTGAACTTGGAGTGTAAATGACTCAATGTTCCAGAAATGATGCAGGAACAATCAAAGTTTTGACAACATGAGCACAAGCTATCACAAAAACATTCAATTACTAAAAGAAATTTTATAATATAATTGGAATCCCCAGATTTTTTTTTTAGCAGAAGTGAGATAATAATTATTACCAGCCAATCAGAGTGAAGCTTTAATGAGTTTAGGAATTTTAGAATGACAAAACTGCAGAGCATGCTTATTAAAACAGTATGGGATCATCCATTGGCTTGGAAGTTAATATAGTTTTCATTATAGTTATTATTCCTGTAACTTCGGGGAAGATGACACACACAACTGGGGTAGGATCCAATATGCAGGTTTAATCGTAATCAAGCAAGCAATGGTCAATTACAGGTGCAAACAGGTATGTACAGACAGTCCAGAATCGTAGTCAAACACAGGCAGGAGGTCAGAAGGCAGGTGGCTAAACAGGAGAACAAGGATAATCTAGGCTAGGGTCTAAACACGGAGATACAAGACAAGGAGAACGCGTTGTAGTGTCATCAACAGATAAACAAGACTCGGCCCACTGAAAGGGTGAATGTGTGGCTTACGTAGTGAATGCAATCAGTCTCTGATAATCCTCAGATGTTGCGAGTGTAATCAGTCTAGATGAGTGAGCATGGGTGTCTGGACGAAGTGCATGTCTGAATATGTAGTTCAGGAAAAGGCGGAAGTGTAGTCCATGGTTATTGTGTAGGAACCTGCGATCTATGGAGAACGATCGCTGGTTATCGTGACAATTGGAATCACCTTATTTATTGGCTTGCGAGCTATAAAAAAATGACAGCCAATCAGAATCACTCCTTCCAACGCTGCACATTTTAACAATTTTCAATAATTTTTCAATTATTCATTCATTTTCCTTTGGCTTAATCCCTTTATTCATCATCTGTTGCCACAGGGGAATAATCCACCAACTTATCTAGCATTCACACACATACACGGTGGTCAATTTTAGTCTAGTCAGTTCACTTTTACCACAAGTCTTTGGACTGTGGGGGACACTAGAGCACCCAGAAGAAACCCACGCAAACACGGAGAGAACATGCAAACTCCACAAAGAAACTGACCATGCTGAGGCTCGAACCAGCGACCTTCTTGCTGTGAGGCGACAGTGCTTTTATTGAATGTAGGGACAGACACAAAATTATTTTTTTTCATTATTGAAATTACAAATAACTCAGCATACAGGTGATATTACAAATGATACAGTAAGTCCATTATTGATGCGGCTGTGAGGAACTGTGGGCATAAGGTCTGTGCTTCCTGTCGAGGCGCCAATCCACGAACCTGGTGGTGGACACTAGAAGTAAGGGATGTCGTCAAGCTGAAGGAGTCCTACAGGGCTTGGTTGGCTTGCAGGACTCCCAAGGCAGCAGATGGGTATTGGCAGGTCAAGCGTGCTGCAGCGCGAGCAGTTGTGGAAGCAAAAACTCGAGTCTGGGAAGAGTTCGGGGAGACCATAGCGGAAGACTATCTGTCTGCCCCAAAGAGATTCTGGCAACCGTCCGATGCCTCAGGAGGGGAAAGCAGCTCTACATCAACACTGTTTACAGCGGAAGTGGGGAGCTGTTGACCTCGACTTGGGATGTTGTCGGACGGTGGAAGGAATACTTTGAGGATCTCTTTAAACTCACTGACATGTCTTCCATTGAGGAAGCAGAGACTGGGGATGCAGGGGTGGACTCATCCATCACCCAAGATGAGGTCACTGAGGTAGTTTACAAGCTCCATAGTGACAAAGCAGTGAGGGTGGATGAGATTCAGCCTGTGTAACTTAGGTCTCTGGATATTGTGGGGCTGTCTTAGCTGACACGTCTCTACAATATTGCACGGAGGTCGGGGACAGTACCTCTAGATTGGGCAACTGGGGTGTTCGTTCCCATTTTTTAGAAGGGGGACCAGAAGGTGGGCTTCAACTATAGGGGCATCACACTTCTCAGCCTCCCTGGGAAAGTCTATGACACTACTGGAGAGAAGGATCCGGCCGATGATTGAACCTAGGATCCAGGAAGAACAATGAAATTTTTGTCCAGGCCGTGGTACCAGCCCTGTACCCTCACCAGGGTCCTCAAGGGTTCATTTGAGTATGCCCAACCAGTCCACATATGTTTTGTGTACTTGGATGTCGTCAAGCTGAAGGAGTCCTACAGGGCTTGGTTGGCTTGCAGGACTCCCAAGGCAGCAGATGGGTATTGGCAGGTCAAGCGTGCTGCAGCGCGAGCAGTTGTGGAAGCAAAAATGATTGAACCTAGGATCCAGGAGGAACAATGCAATTTTTGTCCAGGCCGTGGTACCAGCCCTGTACCCTCACCAGGGTCCTCAAGGGTTAATTTGAGTATGCCCAACCAGTCCACATATGTTTTGTGTACTTGGAGAAGGCATTCAACCATGTCCCTCACAGCATTCTGTGGAGGGTGCTCTGTGAGTATGGAGTCAAAGGGGCTCTGTTAGGGGTGTCTCATCCCTTTATGAATAGAGAAGTAGTTTGGTTCGCATTGCCGGCAATAAGTCAGACTTGTTTCCAGTGCATGTTGGACTGCGGCAGGGCTGCCCTTTGTCACCAATTCTGTTCAGAATTCTTATGGACATAATTTCAAAGCACAGCCTTGGGCTGGAGGGGGTCTGGTTTTAGAATTTCATCACTGTTAAGTCTAGTTCACACTAGAGGATTTTATGCCTGATTTGAGCCCGATTTGGAAGTTAACGAGCTCGCCGACAGATCGGGCTGTGATCGTGAAGAAATCTGCGGGTGCACGGCGCTCGCCGCTCTTTATGTGTGAACTACTGAACAACGCATCAACGAGGCTCGCTGATGCATTGCCAACACCTCGCAGACGCGTCGCCGACACCTCGCAGACGGAAATCCAACATTAAGCATGCTAAATATTCCAGAGCAGTCGGCCGACTCAACCCCACGTGTGGTCTGATGTAGTAATGAGCTGCAGCCAATGAGAGAGCATATCAGCATGAGCTGTATGTGTGTGTTTAGGAGCTCAGCAGAAACATCTGTGATTGGTCCGAATGGGCATCAACGCACTGCTTCATTCTGTGTTAACACAGACATGAGAGTAGGCTATATTAACAGTGGAACTAGAATTCTGTAACTATTAGAATTACCATACTGCTCATTCTGACGGTTCTCATATAAAACGCCATATTGACACATCATATTTACATTCAAAGCATCTATTGAGATATTAAAATTAAGCTTTGAATGTCTGGCATCATATTTAATGACACCATTACCCTAAAAATATAATCTTTTTTTTTTTTGGTAATACAGCCTATAAATATGTAGTTAAGATACTAAAACATGCAAAGGTCTTGGCTTTCATTTTCACTTTCAAACAGGAGCTATTTCACAGCACAGAATATGCTGTTTTGAAAGATATCTGAAGTAAATTGATGTTTTTGCCATCAGAGAGTTTTGTTTATGTTAGCAGGAAGTTGCTAGGCAAAAAAAATGCACACATATTTAAAGTCACAGCGAAAAGTATCAGACATGCATGCAGTCATTTTGACCAAAATGGTAATTTAAGGCAGAAATGCTCAGTTCTTTACTGTTTTGTAATAAAAACTTTTTTTTAAAAAGTCAGAAAGAAATACACTGATATTAGAAAATGGCAGGGTGTTGTTTGTTAGTTTTATTTCAAAGAGTTATACAATTACAAAAATTAAAAACTCTCTGTGTATCTATCCACTCAAACCTTGCAGATGAGTGATTAATCCGCTCATAAATCAGCTGATTTGACGATGTTTTTAAATGCTTTCTCCAAAACTTGAAACGCTGTCAGTGACGTAATCAGCACACAAGCAGCCAATAGTATTCAGCTTTTTCTGACGACTCCTCCCTCAAAATTTCATTGGCTGTGGTTTGGTAGCTTGAATGAGCTGATGGGGAAAGAGTTGTTGTCAGATCATGTAGTGTGTGACCACCCCTCTTGTGGATCATTTACAGAGTGTTGCGTAGTGTGAACACCACAGAGATTAAAAGACACAAAGTCAAGTCATGTAGTGTGAACGGCACAGCGATCTGCTGATGTTTAAAATCCTGTAGTGTGAACTAGGCTTTAGTCGCTGACGATGTTGTTCTGTAGGCTTCATTGGCTTCAACATGCACTGGGGAAGTTTGCCCCTATGTGTGACACCTCTAGGATGAGAATCAGCACCTCCAAGTCCGAGGCCATGGTGCTCCACCGGAAAAAAGGTGGTTTGCCATCTCCAGGTTGGAAGAAAATCCTTACCTCAGATGGAGGAATTCAAGTATTTTGGGATTTTGCTCACAAGAGAGGGAAGGATGGAAAATGAGATTGACAAGCGGATTGGTACAGCAGCAGCAGTAATACGGTTGATGTACCAGTGCGTTGTGGTGAAGAAGAAGCTGAGCCAAAAGGCAAAGCTTTGGATTTACTGGTCAATCTACGTTCCTACTCTTATCTATGGTCATGAGCTTTGGGTCATGATTGAAAGGACAAAATCTCTGACACAAACAGCTGAAATGAGTTACCTTCACTGGGTGGCAAGGCGCACCCTTATAGATACAGTTAAGAGCTCTGTCACGCAGGAGAAACTCGGAGTAGAACCTATGTTCCTCTACATTGAGAGAAGTTAGCTGAGGTGGCTCGGGCAACTGTTTCAGATGCCTCCTGGACACCTACCTAGGGAGGTGTTCCAGGCATGTCCCACCAGGAGGAGGCCTCGGGAAAGACCCAGGACACGCTGGAGGGACTATGTCTCTCGGGATCCCCTCAGAGAAGCTGGAGGAAGTGTCTGGGGAGAGGAAAGTCTGGGGTTCTCTCCTGAGACTGCTGCTCAAGCGACCCGGCCGCAGAAAAGCAGTTGAAAATTAATGAATGAAACAAGAAGATGTTTCTGTCACAATCTCCAGCGATCTAGATTAAGCAGATCACTAGAAAACTGCAATTCTACCACTGAACCAACCTACCACTACTATGATGCTTAGCACCAATCAACACCTGCTACAGCTGCAAACTATCTGGACTGATACACAGACACACATCATTCCTACAGATTATGAGGACTATATACACAGCACAACACACACACTTCTGGGCTGAGTCTTGTTAGTCTGTTAGACAATGAAGTGTTTCTTTGTCTAAGTCTTTCCGTGTTTCATCCTTGCCTTGTTTTACTGTTTATCTTGATTCTGACCACTCGACTGTGACTTTGACTACGCTTCTGGATTACCCCTGTGATACTGTTTGTACCTGTTTGACCGTTGCCTGCAAGAACATTCTCTGTTTAATCTCTGTTTTGGATCCCCAACTTTGTTGTTAGCACATTTTTGTCACAGTTTCATGCACATAGTTTTTTTATTTAAACTTAGTGTAGTAAACACATAAAATATGTAAATTAAACAATTATTTCATTGTAATGGAAGCTGGATGTAAACTTGAGGAGGCAGAGACAGTCAAAAATAGGTATAACGGAAGTCTTTAGGCTAATATTTTTAAGACAAAAACTGCCTAAATACATAAACAAACATTATTTTTAGAGATAACATGACATAATCTTTTATCTTGGAGACACACTTTAAATACACAGAAAGATATCATCCATGGGATGGAAGCAAGGTCAGACTTACAGTTTTATTATAGCTGGCCTTAACAAACACTCACCTTTAAGTAATTAGCATTGATGTAGGTGCTAAGAAAATCACCTTCCTCCTTAGCTTTTAAGCACACTCTGCTATGTGTGTCTGTAATTCAGAGATGAGAACAAACAGAAGAAAAAAGAAAAACGCAAATATCAGGAGCAAACCTCATGAGACATTTCCACTTAAGACTATGCATAGAGCAATATACGCACTTGGTAGTATGGTTTTGTAGCGATTCTTCCTCACCACCCCAGGAATACTATATTCTTTTGGGTCCACAAAGTTCATGGGAGTCTCCTGTTTCCACCAGAATCACCAGATGAGCAGTGTTGTAATGATACGATGACTGTTTCATAGTGCAAATGCATGACACTCACATAGAACTCGGCCTGAAGCACGCCGTCATCCAGTGCTCTCGTGTGCAGCTGCTCGGGGGTCAGCAGGTTGGATGCGTTCTGCAGATACTCCTGTGTGCTCTGCTCTCTAGGTGACAGCAGCGCTCCGTACGGCTCTGTAGTGCCAGGGGTGCACATGTCCAACGTCAGAGACACATTAGAGCCTCTCCTGAAAAACACAGCCCCATTTAAACATGATGATGTGATCATCCAGAGCAAAAATTGCTGCAGATCTATTTAGTTTTTAAACATATTGAAGTCATTTATTAATTAATTAGCATTGCTACATTGTGACTCTTGTTTGTTATACTGTATTTGGGGTACCCCTTTTGGACACTTTTAGGTTCTACACTCAAAAAATGGCTTTGTGCTTGTTCAAGCTTATTTAAAATAAGTAGAAACTGCACACTTCTTTTTTGGGACAACTTAATTGTTTAAGTTGTCTTAATTGTTAAGGGCTTCTGGTAGTACTTAAAATAGTCCACTAAAGGAGACAGAGCCTTCTCGATTATGGCTCTTAAACTCTGGAATAGCCTTCCTAATAATGACTTCGACACACTCTCTCAGTTCAAAACTAGATTAGAAACCTTTCTTTTTAGCAAAGCATTCACATCATGCTCCACGCAGGAGAGTGGGCTTGACAAACTACCTGTACGACCCACTCCTTCTGCCTTAATGCACCAGAGTTTCTGCAAAATTTTTTGTAAAAAACAAAAAATAATAATAAAAAATCTGTGGCTTTATGTTGAAAGATTTTGGAACAATAAGAGCTAAAAAAACTCATCAAATGAAAAATAATAACTTTTATGCAAGGTTTACAATCAAAATCCAATTAGAACCACTTGTTTGGTAAACAAAGCTACAGCACTATTATATATAGTATTAATGTTATTGATATAAAATCTGCATAAAGGTATATTTACACATATGCACATGAGTATATAAATATGGGTGGCATAGTGGCTCAGTGTTTAGCACTGTTGCCTCACAGCAAGAAGGTTGCTGGTTCAAAATCCGGCTGGGCCAGTTGGCATTTCTATGTGGAGTTTGCATGTGGGCGTGGGTTTCCTCTGGGTACCCCCCACAGTCCAAAGGCATAGGTGAATTGGATAAACATCATATTGAAAAACCATATGTGTTTTGATGTACGAGTGTGTGTTAATGTGAGTGTGTTTGGGTGTTTCCCATTACTCAGTTGCAGCTGGAAGGGCATCCGCTGCGTAAAACATATACTGAAATAGCTGGCGGTTAATTCAGCTGTGGCGACTTCTGAAATAGAGACTAAGCCGAATAAATAATTAAATATTTAAATTGAATGATGGCCTTGAAAATCTTTGGATTTCTGATTCAGATTTCATGTAGTCCTATAAGCTCTTTTGCAGCTCCAAATCAGCTAGTGCTCATAAGTATTTGTAAATTGTTAGGTTATGGTTAGCCTAGTGTAACCCCGCCGGTCCTACGCCACCCAGCCCGATCCAAGCTGGTGTCGAACCAGGAACCTTCTGCATGGGAGTCCGGTGCTCTACCAAGGAGGCTAAAGACCATGGCCTCTAGCATCTGTCACTAGAGCACCTTTAGAGATCAGAGGAGTGAGGTTAACCTGCACAGTACCTACTAGCTGGCCTCCGTTACACTAGCAGAATAAGTAAACATGTTCATTAAAAGTTATATGTATATATAGTTGGGCTCAATGATATTGGATTACTTACACACACACACACACACGCACACACGCACATACGTACACACACACACACGCACACACAAACATTCAGTAATATAAAACAAAAAAAGTTTTAATTGTTTGAACCATGTTTATGCCTCCTTCACAATCTCTCAGTGTTATGGTAAATACATGTTTATAGTTTAAGCCAGGATCTTGGAAATTTCTGATTTCTAATTTCTGAGTGACTATTTTCTCTTTCAGCAGTTATTTGTGACTTTCTCTCATTAAGGATTCAGACAGCAGCAGGTGTATTTAGCAGCAGGTATATGTCTTTTATTTCAATATACTGTATTGTTATGCTAAACAGTTACTCTTTTCAGTTTTATAATAGCTTCTGTTTCATGCACATTAGCAAATGCATTCATCTGTTGTTTAAATATTGATCTAAAGTTGCCTTTTAAATATTAAACAATTGCTTCTGAATTTTTAATTACGACACAAGTGCTTAGCCTTTCCATAATCACCAGTTCTGCATTTATGATTCTTTCCGCATTCAAATATTCACCACACATTCACCGTCACATTAAACACTGAACCACCAAAGCGTCATAGAATATTCTGAAGGCAAACAGCCACAAATAATTTATGAGATGCAATGTTCATCATGTGAATCATCCAGATGTGAGATTTTTAAAAAAAAACATCCGGTTTTATTACCTTTCCTGCAAGCCCACAGGTTTGACAGTGAGAGTGACAGGGTCGGCTTCAGTTTTCATGTCCATAAAGCAGTCGAACACGGGAGTTTCAGGAACAGCGTCCAGCTCGTAGAAATCTTCCTGTTTAGCATCTGTCCATTCTGAATATGTAAAAGAGGGCTGCCTGCTCATGGACTGACGACGGTCTTCAGGGAAGCAGGACTGGTTGCCAGGCACCAGGGTTTTAATGCAGAACAGCGTCTGTTGTGACAGCAAAAGGCGAGGGAAACAAAAGGAAAGTTCAAGCTATACACAAAGACATTAATGCATGCTAGACAATCAACTGCTGCACAAATTGGAGTGCAGCTTAACCAGTTTTTTTATTTATTTATTTATTTATTTTTGCACAAGCAGGCTTATACTATAGGGCTGTTAAAACCCTTGATTCTGATTGGCTGATAAACATTTGAGTGCAACTATTTAAAGATAAACGCTCAGCTAAAATAATTCCAGGTAGATCGTGACCACATTACAGCTCTATATCGCTATGCTGAATGATTGACAAAAGCCACAATTTAAACCAAAACAAAAGTCATAGGGTGAAATGTGTTGGAAATTATTCCCACACACAGGTTTAAGGGCAAAAACCTGACAAATGTCATGAAATACAACATCTAAACAGTTTTTGTAGGTGCAATAACCAAAAAATATACAAAATAATTGACTCTGGTCCATTAAATTAGTAAGGGATAATCAATGGATTTAATTTAAAATCATTTAATGCACAGCAAGCTGTTGATTATTCTACTTTTTTCCGTGGGCGTTTGCCAAGTCATTGACAAGTTAAAACTAGTATTGCTCCTATAAGTCTGACTGACTTGATAACTGAATAAATGACTGAAATTCCTCTGGCCTATGTTTTAAATGTAAAAACACAAGGGGACATTCTTCTCTGTTTCTGCTACTGCAACAAAATTGTTTTTGTTTTTTTTTTGGACCCAAATCTTTATTTTTTAAGCTACATTTTTGTTTCTCTGTGGAAATATTATCTGTTGGAGAGGAGACAGTCATTCTCACATGAAACTTCTTTTTTAAATTTTTATTTTGGTTTATCTGGCAAATAAATGCATATTGTTTGTGCTTGTCACTTCCTCCATCCTTCAGTCTTCTTAAAGGAACCTGACTGAACAATACAGATAGTCAATACACTTTACTATGTTAATGACCTCTCTTGATGCTCCATTGTATTCTTAATACCTTGTCTCCTGCCTGACATTTTCTGTAATTTCTGTTTTTATGCACTTTTCCCTTCCCTTTTTTTTGTTTCATCATGTTCCGCTTTTTGTTGTTGTTGTTGTTGTTGCTGTTGTTTTTTGCATTGTGTATTTGAGGATATATGAGTATGTTGAACACTGAAAAAAATGATGAAACTAAAATTAAAATAATAATAAATAACATAGGCGGCACAGTGACACAGCGGGTAGCACCGTCGCCTCACAGCAAGAAGGTTGCTGGTTCGAGCCTTGGCTGGGTCAGTTGGCATTTCTGTGTGGAGTTTGCATGTTCTCCTCGTGTTTGCGTGGGTTTCCTCCCGGATGCTCCGGTTTTCCCCACAGTCCAAAGACATGCGGCACAGGTGAATTGAATAAGCTAAATTGACCACCGTGTACGAGTGTGAATAGGTGTTTCCCAGTGATGGGTTGCAGCTGGAAGGGCATCCGCTGTGTAAAAGCTATGCTGGATAAGTGGGTGCTTCATTTCGCTGTGGCGACCCCTGATTAAAAAAGGGACTAAGCTGAAAAGAAAATGAATGAATAAATCATAATAAATATAACTGCAAGCAGCAAATAAGGGGCCAGACAATACAGAGGCTGAATGAGAAGAGCATGGCAGCAAGCACCAGAGCAACTGGCAAAACAAAGATTTTAAGCAAAATGGTTAAAACCCCAAATCTTCAGCTTACAATGTGTCAAATGCTTATTGCAGTTGATCAACATGTGGCACTATTACGAAATGTATATAATAATAATAATAATAATTCCATACATTTATTTAGTGCTTTTACGGGACACTCAAAGCGCTTTACACATTTTTGGGGGGAAATCTCCTCACCCACCACCAGAGTGCAGCATCCACCTGGATGATGCAACGGCAGCCATATTGCGCCAGACTGTACACCACACACCAGCTGATTGGTGGAGAGGAGACAGAGTGATGAAGCCGATTATGATATAGGGATGGTTAGGAGGCCATGATAGACAGAGGCCAGTGTGCAAATTTGGCCAGAATGCCCGGGTTAAACCCCTACTCTTTTTCAAACGACATCTCATCCAAAAGACAGTGCTCACTGAGCAGTATAGAGTCCACATCAACATACTGGGGCTTTAGGACCCACGCTGACCGCAGGTTGAGCGCCTCCGACTGGTCTCACTAACACCACTTCAGGCTGCAACCCAGCTTTCCCATGTGGTCTCCCATCCAGGTACTGACTGGCCGCAACCCTATTTAGTTTCAGTGGGCGACCATGTGAGGGCTGCAGCAGGTTTGTGGTGTGGTCAGTGTGAGACGATAATGCCACTCCTTAAGTTTGGTGTCAACGTGTTGCAGTAATACAGAAACAGATACAGTTTGGCATCGTGCCAGCACAAATTCTATAACTTTTTGTCAGCTTAATCTAAAGATTGAGTACTGGAACAAAACTCTGCAGGACCCCGGCACTCCAGCATTGAGTTTGACCATCCCTGCTCTAGGGGGAGTTTCTAAAGAAGTTTTTTGATCAAAACCACTTTGGCACACAGGAGGTTTAGTCAATTTAGGCGTAATTGGTATCAATATTCTCAGCAGGATTCCAGGAATCTATCAAGACTAGTCTTATGTCAATAGGCAAAAATAGTCACAGGCAGATAGAGAGAGTGTGTGTGCAAGAGAGAGATCATGTGTGTGTAAATGGCATGGGCATACAGCATTTAATAGCTTATAGTAATGTGTGTTATAGCTACCTCTTTTTAAGAATATGTGTAAATTGGTTGATTTGCATTGGCTCCTGGTGAAGCACATCTTGAGAACACACAGAGAGGCTTCGGCAACTGTTACTGAGTTATTGTGGTTACTACTAATGTTTTGGTGTAGCACATTTATTTTGAACTTTGATCAAAACTGACTGGAACTACTTGTGCAGTAAAAATATTAATACACATCTTCCAGCAAATCACAATCAAGAGTTTTAACAGATCATGAACCCACATAACCACTTGAGGTGTGTATTATTTTATATTAATGTGGCAGTGGCCTATCATCAGTTGTTCCTCACTTGCTCTAAAGTTAAATCTCTGAGTAACAAAAGTCAAAAGCATACAGAAAATACTCACTCCAGTACCAAGAATGACGACACCTAAGAAGAGTGTGGCTATGAGGGGCAGCAAGCTCTCCACCCTCCAGATCTCCATCTGCAGACACACGCATTGACCTGTTATTTTCTTGCTTCATACCATGAATGACATTTGGCACGGGATTCCTACGATATGTGTAATCTTATTTATCCTGAAGCATTTGCAGGTCTGTCACCTGTTGATCATAGGCATCACTGGTAGAGAGAAGGTACTGAAGGAGATCCAAAACTTTGTGTGCTGCTGGAAAAGCCCTGTATCCATTCAGCATGTAAAGGACCCACAAGCCCTGAAAATATTAACAAAATAATAACATTTTTACACACACTAACACAATTGTACATCTATCTTTGTGGGAACTTGCCATGGATTTTAGAGATAAAGTTTTTATAGTGACAATAAAACATTTCTGTCTTCTAAACCTAAACATATACTCTTATTTTTACATTTTCAGTTCTCACAGAACTTCTCCATATTTTTACCCACTCTCACACTCTTATAGATCAGCCAACTCTTTCTCCCGGGAGCCACCTCACACTCGATTAAGCACAATGGGAGCCAGATCTTTTAGCTCTGCAGCTCCTCAGCTATGGAACTCGCTTCCCCTGGAACTAAAAAGCAGTGATAGTCTTCACACTTTTAAATCTCGTCTTAAGACCCATCTTTTTAGGCAGGTTTACCTATGACTATCCTTTACTATGTTATTTTATACTTCGATGTGTTTGTGCTTCATCTCCTCTCATGCATTTAAATTTTTGTCTGGCATTGTTTTATTTTTTATTAAATGTTATATTCAGTTGTTTTTAGTATGTCTGTTGATGCTTGCTGTAAGATGACATTGGGTGTCCAGAAAGTCGCCATTTATTAATGAAATTTATTATTATTATTATTATTATTATTATTATTATTATTATTATTATTATATATTTGTAATATTTTTTTTCCCTCCTGGAGGCTGGCTGGTCTCAACAAGGTCAAAAATGCCAGGTTTACTGTTCTTGTTGGAAATTTGTTCCTCACAGGATTGTAAGTTAGAATGCACAAATAAATCCTTAAAAAAAAGAAACAAAGAAAGTAAAAAAAAAAACAGACATCCATTTAGGTGTTTGCATTAAATTAAACCTTCAAAGATTATCATAATGTAATTAATACACATACTTTAATGCTAAAATAATAGTGGCATGAATAAGGCACCAAAATATATTTTAAAAAATGTTCCTTTGTAATTCAGCATAACATAGTAATGCAAAAATGAAACTACATATCTATTCTGACTGGTAAAACTGATCATGCTAAATTTTATTGAACGTTATACAATCATAAAAGTATAAATTTGTAGACTTATTATGAATTCATTTTTGGGAGCTGAAAAAAATGTATCTATAGTTTAAAGAATTATTTTAAAGTAAATATATATATATATATAGGATTATGTGTATTTATAGGTTTAGGACAGCTGTTTTCGTTAGCTAGGCAGCAGTTAGTTAGGCAGGAAAGCATGTGGTGCATTATTGACAACAGGGTCGATCACAGGAGACCCCAGAACAGCCTTTGTTTCTATGCTTATCCAAACACACTCAAGCATAAACAACACAAAGGCACACAAGCTTACATCTTTTGTCAATCAAGATAAACAAAAGCCTTGATTATAAAATTAAAACACTACAGGATTATTACAAAGTATTCTGTTACTATTTAATTTTTGCTAAAAAAACAAAAAACAAATTTGCAACTTTTAAACAAGGACATAACTGAAATGCTAAAATATTTGACAATAAAAATAAGTAAAAGGTGTGGATAAATTGTGATATGAGATAAGATTTTTGTGCAAGATGTGCTTTAATGAGAACTGCGCATGAACTCACAGTGAGTTGAGACAGTGTGTAGAGCAGGAGAAAAGCTCCAGCTGTAACACTGGCTTTTAATACTCGCTCCCACAAAGCAGCACCAATGCCTGGCAGCGGATCGTGGGCATGTGAGGTGGCACCGTCCTGCTCTTTGGGTGCGTCCTCTCCAACAGGGGCTTCAGCCATGCTGCTCTCAAAAACGTCCTGCATTTAAACAGCTAAAACGGACACAGAAAAACACATTTACCAGAGAAACACAACAATGCAATTGGGCTCATTCATGAATTACGAGCAGAGTCCATTTTTTGTAAGGCTGTTCAGATGTAAGCATTCAAATTCATGAAAGCATTCATATTTTTCTAATATTAGCTGGTAAAAGAAATCTGTTCCCTATCAAGTGTACTTAAATCTTCCATGTTTTTTGGCTTCGGCTTAGTCCATTTATTTATCAGAGATCGCCACACTAATTAACCAACAACTTATCCAGCATATGTTTTACACAGCGGATGCCCTTCCATCTGCAACCCAGTACTGGGAAACCCCCATACACTCTCACATTTAAACTCATATATTAATACATATGCTATTTAGTTTATTCAATGGATTAAATGCACACAGACTTTTCATTTTAATCAGCCATCCCCAGGGCTTTCGGTCAATTGTTATCCCATACAAAACCGCTGCGTTTAACATGTGATTTCTTTAAAAACAGCGATCATCACTGCCTGGCTGAGGTACGATATAAAGTGGGTATCAGACCAAACAAGAAGCACTGCGTTAAATTCTTTTTTTCCGCGCCATGTCTTTAAAATATGCAAATTAATTTTACAACACTATTTTCAATGAAGTTTCTGCGCTAGCCTGCTGCTGATGACGGCGCCTGCATTTACACTGCCTTTCGTTTTTTTACACTTTAACCAAGTGGAGGCTTAAGTATATTTAACTGATTATATTTGAATTACATTACAACGTCGATGCTTTAAAAGGAACCTTACGAAATTAAAAACGGTCACAAAGCTTTCACTGGAAGTTCATCATAGGCTGAAAAAAACTGGCTGTGCATACAGCACATTCATGTATTCGGACTGTGGGGAAAACCCGAGCACCTGGAGAAAACCCACACAAACACAAGGAGAACATGCAAACTCTGCACAGAAATGCCAGCTGGGGCTCAAACCAGCGACTTTCTTGCTGTGAGGAGACAGTACTAACCACTGAGCCACTGTCACCTGGGATAATAATATTTTACTATTTAATTTGGTCAGTTTTTTTTTTTTTTTTTGCAGCTTAAAGTTGATAACAGTATATGTTATATATGAGTTAAACATATATATTATCACTGTTATCTTTTTACCTAGCCATCCAATCAATGAATTAGGGGTACGACAAATAGACCCAACCAAGCATCCTTATGTAGTTGAACAAAGGCTGAATAACAGAAGAAAAGCTAATATTGCTGATTACTGCAGGTTGGCATTTTTATTTTCAGCAATACTCTTCAAAACTGGATATCTGCTGTATGTTTCTGGAGTGGATTCCAAATCAAAGTGTCTCTGCTTTCAAAAATGTTACTCCGTTGTGTGTTCTCTGCCAATTTTGAAAACGCTATGATGGAAAAATGTTAATTGAATATTTATTATGCCATAATTTATAATTGAAAATTTATTTTGAATATTTATGTTAAGGCATATTGCTTTTTAGTCTTTTTTTTTTTTTGCATTTATAAAACATACTAAAGTCAAGAATATTCCATTCTACAAAACTTAAATTGTGATTTATAGGTTAGATTATGCTAATTGTTCAGCTTGTTCAGCTTCCAGAAATGGTCAGATGTGCTCCAACATTAGGCACATTCAAATCAAGACTAAAACACATTTGTTTAGCTGTGCCTTTACTGAATGAGCACTGTTCTACGTCTGACAGATCGCACTTTTATGTTTTTCTCTTCTTTTTCATTCTTTTATATCACATTTTATCTGTTTTTATGTTTTTTTTAAATCATTTTTATTATTTGTTTTTATTTTTCTTAAAAAATATTTTTCTTTTGTTCTTATTTTTAAAAGACTTGTGTCTTTTATTATTGTTAATGTAAAGCACTTTGAATTGCCACGGTGTATGAAATGTGCTATATAAATAAACTTGCCTTGCCTTGCCTTGCCTATTGTATGGGCGACACGGTGGCTCAGTGGTTAGCACAGTCGCCCCAAAGCTAAAAGTCCTGGCTTGGGTCAGTTGACTTTTCTGTGTGGAGTTTGCATGTTCTCTCTACTGACATGGGTTTCCTCCAGGTGCTCTGGTTTCTCCTACAGTCCAAAGACTAGGTGAATTAAGTAGGCTAAATTGGCCGTAGTGTATGTGTGTGCATGTTTGGTTGTTTCCTAGTACTGGGTTGCAATTGAAAGGGCATCCACTGTGTAAAACATATGCTGAATAAGTTGGCGGTTCATTCTGCTGTGGTGACCCCTGCTTTAAAAAGGGACTAAGCAGAAGAAAAACGAATGTATGAGTGGATCGTGCTAATTGTGAATAATTGTGGGCGCAAATCATATCTGCCAATGATTAGAATACATTATCAACCAACATATCTGACATCTGAGAGTTTTCAGGTTTTAAATGCAAAATTCTCAGGATTTCCTCCTAGATTTACGAATATCCATTGAACGAAAATTTGTTAAAACAACAAAATGCAAACAGTAGCAACAAATGACAGCAATGCAGCTGAAGGCAGTCACCGAGTAGTACACTACAGCTTTTTCTGCAGTACAGTCTCATAATTCATGGCATTGCTGTGGGAGGAATGACACATTTAGAGGTGGACTATGCAAATGAGACTATGCTGCGGACATAACGCTAACATGGGGTGTTATGTCATATACAGTGCGAACAGCAGACTTATGATTAGCATTAAGAGATGATTCGCGGTTTGAGCAGCAGGTTTTTCTTGTTACATTGCATTGATCATCTAATTACAGTTAGTCTGCTGCGTTCTTTTTTATTAATTTAATAAGGACCACTGACTGTATGGAATCACGCTTTCAAGTTTCCAAGCTTTTAAAGACATGAGCCGAGTGAGTGCGGTTCATTCAGCTAACATATTCCTACATCATATGAGAGTTACTGCTGATCAAATTTTTATAACTTTTTCTTTTTTCCACCAATGCAGAAATGCTTACGACACACTGTTTAATTTTTAAACACTTTACTGTGCACTGAGAGCGACTATCACTTTTCAAAACATTAAAGGTGTACAATATCGCTGCCTCGTCAAAGTGAAAGCAGAGCTGCATTTCGACTTGCAGTAGATTCAACCATACATCAACCAAGTAGCCAATGCATTTGCTTTAAATTATTATATTTTAAAATAAATGTTACATATTTGATGTTTATACTTCATGTAGTGTATGGATGGCTTCACTGGACACTAATTAAACTGACTGGTTCTTCCCTTTTTCCTGCTTGTTTTATAATGCATTTACAGCGCTCAGCATAACTGAGCACACCCCATTTTGAAAATGAATATTTTTATCCATATATCTGAATATAGGCAATGAATTTTGGTGAATTTAAAGAAAACAGATTTATTAAACAAATAAATTTATTACAATAATATTTTACTCACCAAACATCTTTAAAAATTAAAAGATAATACAATTAAATTCATGCAAAATATTGAAAAGAAATTGTAATTACAAACTTCAAAATTTCAACAAAATTTTTCAATTATTTTGCTTCTCTTGACTTTTCCTCCTTTTTAAATTCGTATTACATATTTTTCTATAGCATATAAATTTGGGTGTACTAGTTTTTAGACTGTTATCGTAAGTTAATTTGTTAGATAAGCTCCAGAATTGGCTTCAGTACTGACTAATCTAATGTATATACACACATATAAAATACTGTATGGGTTCCTATTAAAAATATCAATTTAAAAGATAGATTTGTGAGGGGTTTACTTATATAATCTGATATATATGCACATAACATATGCATAAAAATAAATAGTTACATTTAATTTCTATCACAAATTAATAGCATATAGACATTAAAGCACACCCATATAAGCAAAAAGTCAGAGCAGACTGTGTCACCTTTACTGCTGGAGAGCATCATCCTGATCAATACTCCACACACACACACACACACACACACACTCACTGTTGCTGCATTTACAAGAAAAACAGTTACTTCAGCAACAAATACACCCATCCCCCATTCTTTCTTTCCATTATCTCTCTCTCTCTCCCTGACCCTCATCTCATCACTTGTGTTCATTTCTTCTATCCCTCTCTTCTTTCCTCTTTCATCTGTCTTTAATGTTCACCCCTCTCTCTTCATACCTCTGACCCTCATCTGCCTTCCATCCATTTCACTTTTTCCATCTTTACCTCCCCCTTCTTTTACCTCTCCTCTCTGATGAATATTATTAATTTATTTATTCTTGTACTCTATTCATGCGGCAGCTGGATGCTCTTGAATTATCAGAATGAGCTATAAAGAGAAGAGATGGCTGAAGGACACACACACACACACACACACACACACAAGTACACACCCTCCTCGTATTGTCTTTCATCAAACCTAAGCATAATCATCTCAAGCCACTTGTTCAATCAGCATTCAATTCCCAGCCACAAACTGGCCGACAGGGAGAAATGGAAGAACAGTCTTTGCAGACACTTTTTCCTGACTGTTTAGAGAGGGAAACTAAAGTTTTCTGGTCTTGAATGATCTGACAACATCTGTCCTGTATATTCTCAATAAAGAATTTGATAATATATTCATTTAAATGTTCTCAATTTTAAAATGTTGAGGTTTAAATCAGATGTTCTCTTACAATTTGGGTCTAAGATAAACAAAAACTTAAAAAAAAAAAAGTTTCATTCAGTTTAAAAAGTTATTTTGTTTCTGCACATCCTCTTTTTTCCTTGTTTTGGCTGCATTTATTTAATAGTAAAAATTATATCATTCATATAAAATAATATATTTCAAAATATTTTTTTTCTATTGATATTATTTGTTATTTAATGTTTTTCACTTGATATTAATATGACTTTTTAGTATCCTTCAATTCCATCTTTACACTGTCAAGTTGTATTTTTTATTATACATTTTTTCCTACGTGACGTTTATTTATAAATTAATTTCGGGAGGATCACTTGCTTATGATTTACCACAGTAAGTCCCGCATTAGCTAATTATGATCCTCCAATCATATTATTCCTAAGTTACTATAAATAACCACAGTCTTCATTCCACATTTATTTTTGTTTGAAAGAAACCCCCCTTCCTCCCCCTCTCCTCATTTTTTCTTATAGACTGGGTGGCACCACAGCCCAGTGGTTAACACTGTTGCCCCACAGCAAGAACACCACTGGCTTTGGTCCTCGCCGGGCTGGTGGGTGCTTCTTTTCGGAGTTTGTAAACTGAAAAAAAAATGATGTCTGCAAAATTGTCACAAACAATTTATATGGATTGAATTAAAAAAAAACTAATTAAGTTCAGTGATGTTCAACCTAATTTGTTTGTTTAAATTCATCCTAAATAAATTGTTTACAACCACTTAACTTAAAAAGATTTAGTAAACCCAAGAAGTTATCTTTAAATATTTTTTTTTAGTGTATGTTCTCCCCTTGTCTGCGTGGGCATCCCTGGGATCTCTAGTTTCCTCACACCGTCCAAAGATATGCATCATACGTAACAGACTAAGCAAAACGTCTACTTTGTCTAGTTCCCTTTTTTCTCAAAGTAGTTTACCTTGGCCGCTTCAGCCGGGGAGTTTTTGAGATCTAACTGAGCTCAATCTCCCCTCTTGCTCTGTGAACAGGAGGGAGCCCTGTGCTCGAGGATCCCTTGAGCTCAGAGCTCTCTCCCGGGACAGCATGCCAAACAGGCTCATGACAAATCATCAGCAAAGTGCAAACTCTTAAAATGCTTATTATTTGCTTGTTCATTTGTTTGTGTAAAAATGTAGACTTTGAGCAAATGCATATTGCAACCTTGCTAAATAAAATTATTGACCTATTAATGGATCCTAAACACTGAACGTGAACTGGAATTTGCTAAGACTTTTATTTTAGTATAGTGATGTTTTCAAAACAAAAATAATAGAATATTGAGAACGGGGTAGGGCCTTCTTTTTGCACATCATTCCCTATTAGCAAACTAACAGTAAGAGGGACATACCCTCACCATAGAATTATAAGGTTCTTTCTGCATTATAAATAATTTTAAGATATTGAGCTTTAAAGTTTTTGCATTCCATATAGCAAACAATATGTATGAAACAGTTCTTTAACATGACAGAGACCCTAAATATACTCTAAATGTAAATTATCAAAATTATTTTACATTTGCAAATTGGGGTAAAACAAACAGGGCAAAGGCAGAGAGAACCCTCTAATTCTAAAATGACATTTTCTGCTTGGAATTAAAATGTTATTTCTGGCAGATCATTCATTAAAGCATTACCTTTCAAGAAATACAATCAGTCTGCTTATTAATTTGCTTAAAGAAATAAAAATTAGTGTTGTAACAATACGTTGATGTTTGAGAAACTTACATTTTTGCTTTCTATAACATTGAAATAATGTTTCAGGATGTATATATTTTTTTGTTTCAATTAATTATACAAGGCTTTGCTAAATATGTTGTCCAGTGCAGATGTTAATTTCTATGCAATTAATATGAATTATATACTTTAGATGAATTATTGAAGTATATTTATTGAAGTATATTCCCCATGAATTAAATTATTTGCCCTATAAGGCTTAATATCCAATTTAAAGACTTTAAAAGAAAACAGACAATGAGCAAATGAGTGTAAAAAACACTGAAAAAATGTTTCCCAGACTACACAAATAAAAATATTTAACATTTAATGAATTACATTTTTAATAACTGTTTCTTTTTCAATAATGTAAAAATGAACATTTCATCTCAATGTCAAAAATTTCTTCTAAATCATCACATTTACACTTTTTCAATTTCAGGTTTCTTCTCAATTTTATGTGGTGCAGCATTACTTAGTCGAATTTAGTCCGGCGAAATGACAAATAAACCTAATCCTAATTTATTCTCTTGTGTACATTCGAAATGCTGATTGGCTCACAGAAAGAAACTTACAGAGCCAAGCTAGAGTTTGACTTTGTAGATAAAACCTTTTTTGTTTTTAAAATAAAAAGTCTTAAAATGTAAACAACTTACAAAAAACCATCACATAATGTAAATGAGCTGTCATTTAATAAGAATATGTCAATAACTCAATTTTGACAAAAATGTCAGAAAGAACTTTATAATTCTAAGGTGAAGATATGGCAAATACCGTGGCTGAAGCCATCAAACTGACATTAGCCATGGCAGGTGTAAAAGCAAAATGGTCGGATTTAAGATGTAATTCTTTGATTGAAAATTGCCAAACTTTATTTCAGGATTTATTCGCACAGATTAATTGTTTAATTGTAAAGAATAGCAATGTGTGCACGCAAAACAGGCATTGTACATTTTGATTTCACAGACTTTAAAAATCTGTGATGGACTTCTAATTTTCACAAATGTAAAACACCTGAAACCAAAAATGTCAACCTCTGTTTCCTTCTAAAAGAGATAGTTCACTTAAAACTGAAAACTCTGCCATCATTTTCTCCTTTTTTCTTGTTCCAAACCTTTCTGAATTTTTTATGATGTTGAGCATATTTTGAAGAAAGCTAAAAACCTGTAAGCATTGACTTCCATAGTATTTGTTTTTCCTACTGTGGAAGTCAGTGATTATAGTTTTCCAACTTTTTCAATGTCTTTCTTTGTGGAAAAAAGAACCTCATAAAGGTTTAAAACCATTTGATGGTGAAAAAATGAGTTTTAGTTGTAGTTTTGGGTGAACTATCAAAGAAAGTACACCTACACTTTATAAAAAACAATTGAGGACTTACTGTATAATAAAGCAAATTAGGCTCACATGACAGTGACAAACGCCTCTCTCAGCACCTAAAACAAACTGGGAGCAGCGAGAAGAAAAATCAGGAAAATTAGAAATCAGCGACAGACTGTATTTGCATTGCATTAAAATCTCAATTTATATAGCAGTAGATGATCATTCTTACTCATGCAGCTCTGTACGGAGTGCCACAGATGGCGATACAAGCGGAGGACACAGCGTGCCAAGTCAACCAACAGTAGGAGTCACTGGGCGCTACCGAATAAATAGCCCTCCATGTGTGTCTATCACAGAAAAATGACAGGTGGTCAAAATATAGCAGAAGATATAATGAATCCAAGCAAGACGTTCAGGAATCGAGCTCAGTATATGTGATAGGCTAGACAAAAGCACGACAAAAACAATGAAGAACTTAATGTCTGTGCATGAGGCCCGCGTATCTAAAAGCCGAACACACACTCAGTCTTTTCCTCTACGATCAGTAAACAATAGCTGCAGAGGTCTGGTCTGGTGATGACGTGATCTACATTGGCATGGGGGTAACCATGGAAACAAATACACTCAGCAGCAAATGGTTTATATAGGACCACAATCAACACACACACAGATATACACACACTCCAACACCCACACAGACAGACATGCAACGGGATCATGCAGTAGACACAATCCATAATGGAATACAGAAGAGACACGGTTTCCTTCTGGCTCTTGCAACATTTATACAGTCTTAGCGTTTGAAACAATTCCTCCTTCCCCAGTTCCAGTAAAACGTAATATATTGAGCCTTAAAAACAAAGGTGCCAGGAACAACCCAAGCAAGGTTGTCAGGGTAATGCCATAGAAGAACTTTTTGGTTCTCCAAAGAACATTTTGGTGAAATCTTTTGTGAATAAATATATAAAAAAAACTTTCCATCGTTCATCATGGAACTCTTGATGCCAAATTAAGATCCTAGTTGAGATTAATAAAGCCATAATCTATAGCTAGCCTGCACATACAAATACATAATAACTAAACACAGACCTATTCCACGGCCTCCGCACTACAATGAGGCAGACTTACATCCTACACAATGAACTATCGTCTGAGATTAAATCAAAGTTAACGTGCAACGCATTTTAGAATGACCTCACTGGCTTTCATTTGAATACATCACATAGTCTACATCTGTAAAAGAAATCGATTTCAATTCCCCTCAAGAAAGCTGCTGGTAATACCAAATTTTTCCATGTTAATAGTTTTGATAGAACAGCATGAGAAAGAAGGAGAGAATGAAACAGAGAGAGAGAGAGAGAGGAGATTACCTGCTTAATAGGAGCTCTACACTATAGGGCCGGTGTTTCATTGTGCTTGCTCGTATGAGAGGATTACGCTTATGCTGGATGAGTTAAATCGGTGTGTTTTTGTTCTGCAGGCTGGGCCCAACACTGCGCTGCACCTTTGGATTTTCTATGAATGAGAGCTGTCATGGTTTCCACCGAACACACCTCTCGTCTCGCTCTCCACCTCTGAAACGCATAGCTGATGCGATTAACTGACTGTATACATTTTGTAGAAAGAAATGGCAAAGACTACTGTGGCAAAAGAGAGGCTGAAAGCACAGGCAGAGGATTATTCAGACCAGTCTCCCTCCCTGTGGAATATAAGTCTCATTGGCTTAACACACTGACTAAAAGCGAACATCAATTTATAAAATCATCCCTGCACCAACAGTCATTATTTTCATTCTAAGTCTGAGTTATTCAAACAAACGCTCAAAACATTCAGTAGTCTCACTGCATAGAGTCACCACATCCCCATACACACATCACTTGAACACACACACACACACAGGATGCCAGCATATCTGGAGAATATCAGGCACATAGACGAAAGGATGAAATACTCTACACTTGTTGAATGCCATTTAAGGAGCACAAATGCAATCCTTCCATTTCCCAAACCCCATCTTTAACAGTATCTGAAACTATAAACATACCGATATAATGCTGTTCTTAATCGTGAATTTCAATACCATTTACTACGCAAAGATTCACCACCGAGTGTGTACTCGGGACAGCCTGAATGACACATCCCAGCCGTGAGGCAGTTTTTGAGAACGAAACAGCCAGTATAAACACAGTCACCATCCTGTAACGCCTCGCTCATTGACTCGCTTCGCCTCTTCATTGAGAACAACACTGCGTCGACCGGGCGTCTCAGCATCCTTCAAAAACACGACGCGCGCTTCCACCGGATGAAATGGACACTGAATAATAAAGTAAACCGCACCGTATGTGGAAAAATACGGACGCGCTCTTACCTCTCAGACGGGTGAAAGCGGTGTAAATGAGCGCGGAGATTCGCGCAGCATCATTAATATTCACATCACAGCGCTCGCGGAGACGCGCGCGGAGGAAGAGCAGGCAGCGAGAGACGCTGCAGAGCCGAACAGCGGCCCTCCATCCACCAGAGCCCGCCTCACTGGACTGACAATCACACTGACGATGACGATAGGAGGGTCTCTGTGAGCGAGCGCCAGCGCGAGCGCGCGTCTGCCTTAATGTGCTCTGTTCCTCTCTCTTCTGGGTGTATATATATGTTTGTTTTGTGAGATACCTTTTGTGTGTTGCTCAATAGATGTTGACGTGATAGCTATTGTCTTTCGTGAAGCGGATGGTGCGATGATGCTGCTCTTCAGGTGGCAGCTGGAGGTGTAACCTAGGCAACGTGTCTCGGGGTAGATAGAGGTGGAGGGATGCGCTTTAGTGCCCTCTTCTCTCTCCAGGCCCCTCGGCGCTCACATTAGCAACTGCGTCATTTCCATAAGTAAATTAAAACCCACTGGGTGTTTTACACCTCCAAAATGAGAGCGTTTTTACATTTCTTTCTTTCTTTCTTTCTTTCTTTCTTTCTTTCTTTCTTTCTTTCTTTCTTTCTTTAACGAAGGGATCTCTGTTTGATTTAAACAATTTAAGATAGCAAAGTAAAATAGGTTAAAATATGTTTCTTTGATGTATTTACTATATATATATATATATATATATATATATATATATATATATATATATATATATATATATATATATATATATATATATATATATATATATATATATATATATATATATAATTGTATGTAATTACCTTGGCTGTAACTACAGAGTTTTTACAATGTAATGGCACAATAATTACATAAAAGATGGTAATTATATATTACATACATGTATACTGTGTATATTTAAGTATAATCTATAAATACACACTGTACATGAAATATACAAAGAAAAACTGATAAAAATGATCTGGGATGTAATTACAATGTAATAGCAATGCATTTACAGTCAAGATAATAGTTTGCAATTACATTACTTGTGTATTGTTTATATTTACGTAAATAACTATAAATACACAAATACAGTATACATGAAATATACAAATAAACATTTACATTTATAAATATAACTTTGGTTGTAACTACAATATATTTACAATGTAATTGCAATGTAACGACACATTGACAGATACAAACATGTTTATAAATCAAGGGTAAAGTTTGTAATTACATTTTACTTACATTTTTAATAACTTTTGTTTTCAACAATGCAAAATGTAACATTTTATCTCAAAGTTAAAAAAGACTTAAATCATCACATTTACACACTTGTGTGGTGTGGCATTATTTAATTGACTCTGATTTTATGTTTCTTTCTGGTCTATCCCACTGTCAACGCAGCAATCCGGTGAAATGACAAAGAAAGCTGATCCCGATTGGTCATCATGCATGCATTCTAAATTGCTGGTTGGCTCACAGAACGAACCTTACCGAGCCAAGCTAGAGTTTGACTTTGTAAAAAAAAAAAAACTTTTTTTTAAGTCTTAACATTTAAACAACTTATTTAAAACATTACATAATGTAAATGAGCTGTCATTTAATAAAAATATGTAAATAACTAAATTTTGACAAAAATGTCAGAGAGAACCTTACAATTCTATGGTGACGATTTGTAGATAATCACTCTCATTTTGGTTTGCTGCAGTCCCAAAGCTTTAGAAACAGCTTTATAACTTTTTCCAGACAGGTAGATCTCAATTATTATTATTTTTCATGTGTCTTTAAATTTTGTCATGATGTCTAACTTTTGCGGATCTTTTGGTCTACGACACATTCAAGCACTTTTTAAGTGGTTTGATAAACAGGTTTGGCAGAAATCAGGCCTGGGTGTTTGGGTGAGGAGGGATGCTAAGACACCTGATTGACGCAGGGTTGTTTTTAATGAAGAGGATTTTGTTTTCCCTCAATAATACAAACCTTCATTTAGAAACTGATGTGTTTCCTAGTGTTTACGTGTTCTCTTTGAATAATTTGCCAACTAGTTTGATGAACTGAAAGCTCATTTAAGTTTGGCAAAAATACAATAAATAACAAATCAGTAAGGGATAAACGCTTTTTCACACCACTTCAAACATTCTTAAATGATATAGGTTATTAGCATAGTTAGCAACTTAGTAGTAGGAACTTTTCAGTCCTTCACTGTGTTAAATGGTAAAATGGCTATGAAAAATACAATAATTTTTTACAATAAGATACTTGGGGTTACAAAAAGTTTCTTTCACTTCTGCAAAATAAGTTAAATTACACTTTTTAAACAGGTTTCAAGGCATAAGTTCATAAAAGTTTAAAACAATATTGACATTTTATAATATGACTTTTATAAAAATGCCAAATTGTAAAATGCTTGACCTTGAAGTCTGTTATATAATTTATAATAATAATAATAATAATAATAATAATAAAAAGGAGCGGCGCGATGGCACAGTGGGTTGCGCTGTCACTTCACAGAAGGAAGGTTGCTGGTTTGAGTCAGTTCAGTTGGCATTTCTGTGTGGAGTTTGTACTCCACTTGTTCGCATGGGTTTCCTCCAGGTGCTCCGGTTTCCCCCACAAGTCCAAAGGCGTGTGCTATAGGTGAATTGAATGAGCTAAATTGTCCGTAGTGTATGTATGTGGGTGTGTATGGACGTTTCCCAGTGCTGGGTTGCAGCTGGATGGGCATCCGCTGCATAAAATATGTGCCAAATAAGTTGGCGGTTCATTCCACTGAGGTGACCCCTGATTAATAAAGGGACTAAGCTGAAAAGAAAATGAACGTATGAATGAATGAATGAATAATAATAATGATAATAATAATTCAGTAAATTACAAACATCTGGATGTCGCATTTGTTTAAAATACTGGAAATTCTGAACATATTTATAGCTGTTTTCATTTTAAGCTTAATACCTATTTACGTTTTATGTAAAGAAACTAGGAATTATTGCAAGCAAAACCAGAGCTAAAAGGGAGCCTTAGGGTTGAAACCACCATCATTCGTTAAGTGACTGCTTCCATCTAGTGGTGCTAAACTGAAGCCTTCATTGATAACACGTCGACAGCGCCGCCTATGGTCATTACACCTAAACACAGCATGGGTTTTAGAAGCCTTAAGCAGTTTGAATTCATTTTAAGCTCCTCCTTTGGTTATGATACTTTAGTCCTTTGTGTTTCTAGCTGTATATAGAGCTGATATTCTCAGGTTTTACTGTCGTAATAGTTCTTTTTTTTGCTGTTGGGGTGGTGTTTCTTCGTAGTGCGAATGGATGCTGCTATTGCTAAAGTAATTGTGGCTGATACTAAGACCACTGCTGTAGGTGAAATGGCACATATGAGCTTCATGTGGCTGTATGACTTTTGTTTCCTTGTGAAAGGTGAACTAAATGTAGCTGGTAGTGCTGGTGATATGGCTGTGAAAAAACATTGAAAACAGAGAACAGGTAATAATTTAACTTAAGGCAAATCTAAATTGTACGCACTTTTTTTTGTTCAAGCTTAAGTTTGTCTTCAAAAAACCTTAACAAGATTAAGACTAACATCTGGTTACATTGTATATATGTATATAAAAGTAAATCTATATAGACAAAATATTTTTATGAAAAAAAGAAATAAAATATATTATATATATATATATATATATATATATATATATATATATATATATATATATATATATATATATATATATATATGCAGTTGTAGTCAGAATTATTAGCCCCTCAAAATATTTACCCCCTGCTTATTTTATTCCCCAATTTCTGTTTAACGGACAGATGATTTTTCCAACTCATTTCTAAACATAATAGTTTTAGAACTCATCTGTAATAACTGATTTATTTTATCTTTGCCATGATGACAGTAAATAATATTTAACTAGATTTTTTTCCAGACACTTCTTAGGTTAATTACGTTAGGCAGGTTAAGGTAATTTGGCAAGTTATTGCATAACGATGGTTTGTTCTGTATACTATCGGAAAATAAAATATAGCTTTAAGGGGCTAATAATGTTGACCTTAAAATGTTTTTTTTTTTTTTTATTCATAACTGCTTTAATTCTAGCTGAAAATAAAACAAATAAAACTTTCTCCAGAAGAAAAATTATTATCAGACATACTGTGAAAAATTCCTTGCTATGTTAAACATAATTTGAGAAACATTTAGTAAAAAAATAAAATTCAAAGGGGGGCTAATAATTTTTATTTAATTCTCATTTATACAACAGTTTTTGAATCTGATTGGCTGATAGCTGTGTGATATTCTGCAAATAACAGCACTCGTACAGCCTCTTAACCCTTCATCCTTGTGTATTACTCCACCCTCAAACAGATAAGCAGAGACTATACAGTTAGACAAATATTGCAGCTGTTGGACAACATAATGTACTTTCGAGGCTTTTTAAGTGGAGAATGTAACTGTACAGATTGCAATTATGCAGTTTATTTATAAGGAAAGTGCCTATTTTAAAATAATTATAATTTCAGAGATACACTGCACCGGCGGCCATTTGCCTCTCACTGAGCAGAGCAAAGAAAAAAATTTTCTTTAGGTGTCACAAACTCTCACTCAGTCCAATTGTTTAGTTGGGTAAATGATTAAAAATTACTTTAAAATACATTGCATTTTCTGAATATAACTTGATTCTGAACCTTTTCCCCCTCACGACCCCCTATAAGGAATAATGTGCACCCACACAAGTAATATTCAAAGCAAAACACACGAGGGAGTAAATAGTGAGGAAATATTCATTTTTGATGAACTACCCCTTTACCATGTCTAATGGTTCATAGCACAATTTAACAAAGATGCTGTATGGCACACATTTGAGTGCTTAATGGCAAACTTTACGAAAGTAATAATATAGGAGGTTTATGTTACAATGAAATCAATAAAGATTCAAAATAACAATAAAAATACTGGTAAAAACTACAACTATGTTCAAGATGTTCACCATGTCAACAAACTTCCTCTACAAAACATACAGTGTTTGAAGCAGTTTCACACCCTATCCTTGGCCTAACCACATGGCCCTGTTCAGAACAATGCTAACCACTAAAACTTAAACAACAGAAACTCATATGAATCCAACACACATATTCATATAGTCTTATGCAAAAAGAAAAAAAAAAAACATTTACAATTAATCATTTTTTTCTACTGGCACTGAAAATACCCTGTCTATATAACTGTGCCAGCAGAAAAGAACCTGTTAAGTGTATTATTAACAAGT